AGGAGCAATGTTTAGACTAGAAGAAAACAAGTAGTTAGCTGTGCTCACAATTCCTTCCCCAGTGAGGAGGATCAAGAAGGGGAAGGACTTCAAGTTGAAATAAACAACCATATATACAGTAGCTAATAAGGTAGGGATTTGCCCTTAGGTGTGACTTGCACCCAGTACAGTATGGCTGTACTAGTTGTTTATATCTGGAAATACTTTGGTGCCAGTTGGTAAACAGTCACTTACTGAGCCCTACATTGCCCTGGACGCTCTTCCAGTCCCCTCCCTAAACTACTTATGCTTCCTTATGACCCTGGCAAAATGTGGGCTTCCAGGACCCTGGCTCTGGCTCTAAGGCCAGCTGGTGTCCAGCTCACAGGTCCATTCTCATGCTCATAGGTGCACACACCTTACCAATTGTTACGTATTTTGATTACACTCCTGTTTGTTCCCATTTTACAGATGAGGAAAGTCAGGTTTAGGGAGGTTTAACCGTTTTCCTGACATTGCTCAGCTATTAAAAGCTGGAACCAGGACTTGAACTTGAGTTTTCTGAGATTAGACTTCATGTCATTTTTCCTCCATCCTCCTACTATTAGCTTGTATGTCTTTCTACCCTGTGGTGGGGACAATGAATAGCGGGAGAAAGTTATCTATGGGGCCTGAGTTTTCATAGGAGAGTTAGAAAATCCTGGCTGGGCCGGGTGCAGTGGCTCACTCCTGTAATCCTAGCACTTTGGGAGCCCAAGGCGGGTGGATCACGAGGTCAGGAGATGGAGACCATCCTGGCAAACGAGGTGAAACCCCGTCTCTATTAAAAATACAAAAAATTAGCTGGGCGTGGTGGCAGGCACCTGTACTCCCAGCTACTCGGGAGGCTGAGGCAGGAGAATGGCGTGAACCCGGGAGGCAGAGCTTGCAGTGATCCGAGATCGCACCACAGCACTCCAGCCTGGGTGAGAGAGCAAGACTCCGTCTCAATAAATAAATAAATAAATAAATAAATAAATAAATAAATAACTAAAATAAAATAAAAATAAAATCCTGGCCGGGCGCGGTGGCTCACGCCTGTAATCCTAGCACTTTGGGAGGCCGAGGTGGGCGGATCACGAGGTCAGGAGATGGAGACCATCCTGGCTAACACGGTGAAACCCTGTCCCTACTAAAAATACAAAAAAAAAATTAGCGGGACGTGGTGACGGTCTCCTGTAGTCCCAGCTACTCAGGGAGCTGAGGCAGGAGAATGCTGTGAATCCAGGAGGTGGAGCTTGCAGTGAGCCGAGATCGTACCACTGCACTCCAGCTTGGGCAGTGCAGTTCAGGAGAGCAAGACTCCGTTTCAAAAAAAAAAAAAAAAAAAAAAAGAACAAAATAAAAAGAAAATCCTGTAGGGGTCCCAGGCAGAAAGGAATGCTTTCCTTTAAATTTTCTTGCCATTTGGCAGTCTATCCCCAAACCCTGCCAGTTTTGGGCCCCGGCAGCCCTTTCAGACTGGAGTTGCAACCAGTCTCTTAACACCTTACAATACCAGTAGCTGCAGGGGACCATGACCCTCTAATGCAGAGAATGTCCTCTGTCTGCTCCTAGATCCAGCCCTAAACTACCCAGTGGCCCTCTTAGCTACAACCTTTTCTCGCTCTCTATCCCCCACTCCAGACTGGGCTGAGAATACTCACCCCACTCATTTCTGAGGACAGGAGCTTCTGTGGGAGTGCCTACCTTTTCTTTTTCTGTTTGTTTGTTTATTTGTTTGTTTTCAGTATACCTTTACATTTTATTTTATTTTGTTTATTTTTTATTATACTTTAAGTACTAGGGTACATGTTCACAATGTGCGGGTTTGTTACATAGGTGTACATGTGCCATGTTGGTTTGCTGCACCCATCAACTGTCATTTACATTAGGTATTTCTCCTAATGCTATCCCTCCCCCAGCCCCGTATCCCCCGACCGGCCCCAGTGTGTGATGTTCCCTACCCTGTGTCCATGTGTTCTCATTGTTCAACTCCCACCTGTGAGTGAGAACATGCAGTGTTTGGTTTTCTGTCCTTGTTATAGTTTGCTGATAATGATGGTTTCCAACTTCATCCATGTCCCTGCAAAGGACATGAACTCATCCTTTTTTATGAGGAGAGCCCACCTTTTCGCCTCCATCCCTCAAGTACAACTTGAATGCAAACTGATTCCAGAACCAACACTCAAAATGGAGTCAGAATCTCAGGACGGAGAGAGGCAGGAGAGGGCTTTCTAAGTGCTGGATCTGGGTGGACTTGTAACTGGATAGCAAGGCACCCTGGTGTCTCCTTTTGTCTTTCTCCATCCAGAGCAGCAAGGTAGCCTCCTTCTTGGAGAAACAAAGCAGGAGGATGTGGAGATGGCAAAAATTTCCCACTTCTCCAGCATGCAGCAGAGAGGCTGGATGCTTGTAGGAGGCGCAGGTGTGCAGAAGGCTGAGTGGCTTACCTACAGAGATCTCCCATTTAGTGAATGTTCTCTCTCTCTCTCTCTGTCTCTCTCTCTCTCTCTCCCTCTCTCTCTCTCTCTCTCTCTGTGAGAGAGAGATTTTGTTGATTGCCTACCACATGTCAAGTACTTTACACATACCTTATCACTCAATTTTCCCACCTGCTTTCTCAGAATTATCCCCAGGTAACAGATGAGGAAACTGAAGCCCAGAGAGGTCATGTGACTTGCCCGAGGTCATGTGACTTTCCCAAAGTCACACAGACAGTTAGTAATAGAGTGGGGATTAATCTCAGGTCTGCCTGATTTCCCAGCCCAGGGTCTTCTCTATATGATGGAGGGCAGAGGGGTGTGGGAAGATACCTGGGAAAAAGAAGCTTAGAAAATGTATTTTTTTTTGTATGTGTGTCGAAGTTCAAATCATGGAGTGTGCTTTTACCTTTATTATTCCTCACCCCAGCTTCCAGGCCAGGAGGATCTGAGGCCATCTCCCTTCCATCCTTCCTCCCTTCTCCTACATACTGATAATCAGTTTCCTGTATCATCACCCAGTCTTGAACCCATGATCTTTTTTTTTTTTTCTTTCTTTCTTTTTTTTTTTGAGATAAAGTCTCGCTCTGTCACCCAGGCTGGAGAGCAGTGGTGCGATCTCAGCTTACTGCAACCTCCACCTCCCAGGTTCGAGCAATTCTCCTGCTTCAGCCTCTCGAGTAACTGGGATTACAGGCATGAGCCACCATGCCCGACTAATTTTTATGTTTTTAGTAGAGGCAGGGTTTCACCCTGTTGGTCAGGCTGGTCTTGAACTCTTGACCAAACTCCTGATCCACTAGCCTCAGCCTCCCAAAGAGTGGGCATTACAGGTGTGAGCTACCACACTTGGCCACCTCCCCCATGATCTATTTTTGGGTCTAGGGAGAATATGATCAACAGGTCCCAGTACCCCTTATTTCACTGGTTCTGGGCTCCTGGAAAGGGAGAGTTTCAAAGCAAACCCAGCTTCCTCTTTTCCCTCCTCAGGCTCAATCCGTTGTGAAGCCTCTTTCCATGTGTGTGCCTCCCTGGGCAAAGTCCAGCACGCAGGCTTCTCCCTGGGAGTCCACCGATGTCAGTTGCGGTCACTAGGCATCAGGGCTTCTAAGAGGCAGGTAGACACCTACAGAAGCAGAGCCTACAGGGGCCCTGTTAAGAGGAGGAACCATCCCCTTTAATTTTTCCAAACCCAGAATCCACCATTGAGCAGGCAAGAGCTCTGGAAGGAGGCTCCCCAGTGAAGAGGCACAAGGACGCCTTTAGCATGAGCTGTTCTTCCTCCTTGGGGTTTTCCCACTGAGATTCCTGGGGCCAACACAAAACCCTGCCCCCAAAGTCCCTATTTCTTTTTATCCTAAAAGTGAACCAGTTACTTTCCTTGTCCCTAAGGTCTAGCTGAGTCAGGCTGACCATTTCAAAAAGAATTTGGGGAAAAACAAAAAGGAAATCATTATAGAAACTACAAACAGCGTAAAAGTCGTCATGTCCAAAGTGCAGGTTTCAGATTCTGCGAATCCCGTTAAAACCAGTGAAAAGCTCACTGAGTTCCACATTCTTTGATTCCCGGAAAACTACTAATCATGCTGGCGTAATTTGCCTGCCTCTTCCCTCCAGCCCTGCCAGTCTCTGGCCATGTGATCTCCCAGGCCAGCTCAGGTCACTTTGTCATCTCAGTCCATCTTTCACCTTTCACAAGTCAACTCCAGCTCTCCCAAAATGATAGCTTATCTTCTGTGTTTACCCCTCCACTCACTAAGCTCTCGCCGTCTAGTCACCTTCCCCCTTCCATCTGAAAGGAAACCGGTTCGCTGTCTTGGGGAGCAAAATATCCTTAGTTACCCAAGAGTAACTTTGAGATTTTCAGCTTCACATACTAAGGAGTCTTCACAAAATGGGACCCTTCCTCCAACACACATACCAGCAAATGAACCAACGGGCTTCCAAAAGTCTACATTATGTATAATAATTCCTTTATACGTTAACCTTCCGATCCCTTCAAAAGAGTTGTTTTTCTTGTTGCTGAGCAAGAAGAAATGCCGGGAGAAAACGCAGAGGACACCTTCCCTGTCATCAGCAAAAGGGATCTATTTGCAAAGCAATATTCAAATAAGAAATAACTGCGGGCTGCTTTTAAGTTAACAATTGCAATCACAGAGAATGAGGTTCTGTCTCTATGCGTGTCAGAGTGCCAAGCCCACCGAGGAGCTTCCTGCGAATTTGGTCGTCAATTAAAGTCATGATTGCTGGAACGTCACGACAACTAGGGGGCTCTACATTACCATGTCGCGACAGGTAGAAGCCCACAGTTACTGCCAGCAGGAAAAATCAGGGAATCAAAACTGAATACAGAAAATAAATTTGGGCGGCGCATTCGCCTTCTACGAATCTTGCCTCATTCGGGCTGCCGTCGTTGCCCTGGGATATCTGAAGACGCCGTTTCCTGCGCGTCCTGTGTCTATGGAGACGGCAATATGGCGGCGATGTAAGTTCTGAGCGTTAGTCCCAGGGTCCCAGGGTCCCAGGGTCCCAGGGTCCCAGGGTCCTAGGGAGCGGCGCGAGTGGCCAGGGAAGTTGTCTGTCCCGGGAGACCCTATCCTTCGGGAAATCGTGGCCAGAGGTCCCCTCCATGCTCTTCAGAGAGCCCCATGGGACTGAGTCTTGGGCGAGATCAATCAGACTAAAGATCCCGAAGAGAAAGGAGAGACAGCTCTAAGTGTATTTTGTCCCCCTTTGTTTCATCTATTTCTTTCTCCCTCGACTCTATACGACGACCTGCCACTTTTTCTAGTGGTCATCTTGGAGATTTTTAGATCAACAATTAGGCAAATAAAGGAAGCTCATGATACATATTTTCAAAGTTCTTGAAATTGGAAACTTCAATTTAAAACAAAACAAATTCAAAACAAAACAAAAAAACCTCTCTTGCCCAGTCTCTTCACAACGACTGCAGATGTGTGAGTCTTTTGGAAGAATAGTGCAGGCTAGTGAGGGAGTTATGGTTGTTAATTACTATAACATAGATTTGTTTAGTGCTTTTTCAAATCCTGTTTCATTCGAGCTGCACATCAACTATGTGAAATCGTCAGGATAACCCACATTTTACAGGCGAGGAGACTGAGGCTCCAGGAGATGGAGAAATTTGCCTATCTCCGTAGAGTCTGAGAAGATGCTGGCATCCAGCTTCCCTTGCCCTGGGACCACTTCCCTAGCCCTATGACATGGGTTGGACCAGCTTTCTACCCCATCATCTCTCATCTCTTCTATGCACTCTCTGGAATAGTTTCATGTGTTGAGTGGAGACTTTTTCAGAGCTCTGAGGCAGGAGCTGTCTGTACAATCCCCTGAGGTCAGAGGCATTAATGAGTCAGGGCAGGGCTGCAAGACCATCCCGTGGCAGAGAAGTAATGGACTCTCTCCGTGTCTCCTCAGCTCACATTTTCTTTGATTTCATCTGAACATCCAGTTCACTGTTGGAGGTAGGAGCCTTGCCGGCCTTGTCTGATGCCTAGCACAGTACCTGGTACATAATAGGCACTCAGCAAGTGCTTTGTGAATGAACGAATGACTGAATCTAGATAGTCCCCTCCAGAGGGTTTAGACATGTTGCCAATTAGGAAAACCAGGGTCAACAGAACCTTCCACTTTGGAAGGGTGGTGTTGGGTGGTGGGGGAGGGATAAGAGAGTGTCTGATGGAACTGTATAAATTCCTAAAGGGTGATCTTAAAATTGCTAAATCTGAATACATTAAAATAAGGAACTGAATGACAAACTTGAAAAAGGATCATTTTAGGTCAAATAAATGGGTAAGTCACACATAATCATAAACTGTTGTAAGAATTAAAATACCTGTAAGGGAGAATTGCTTGAACCCGGGAGGTGGAGGTTGCAGTGAGCTGAGATCTTGCCAGTCTGGGCAGGAGAGTAAGACTCTGTCTCAAATAAATAAATAAACAAACAAATAAATAAGGGCAACAGAGTGAGACTCTGTCTCAAATAAATAAATAAATAAATAAATTAAATAAAATCCCTGTAAGGACCTTACAACACTGCCTGCCATGTAGGTTCTCAGTACATGTTAATAGACATTATTATTTTTGAGATGGTTATTTGAAGAAGAGGGGGAGGATACTGAGTAATCTGAAAAATATACAAATGTTCAAAAAAGGTATTAAAGTGATGCTGTCCAATGTGGTAGCCAATAGCCATTTGTAGTTATTCAGCACTTAAAATATGGGTAGTCCAAATTGAGATGTGCTATAAGTGTAAAATGCACACCAGATTTCAAAGACTTAATACAAAATACGAAAGTAAAGTATCTAAATAATGTATTGATTATTTACATATCGATTTATATATCGATTTACATATCGATTATTTAAATATTGATATTATTTACGTATCGATTACATATTCAATGTAGTATTTTTGATATAGGTTAAATAAAATATATCATTATAATTAATTTTACCTGTGTCTTTTCACTTTTTTAATGTGGCTACTAGAATGTTTTAAAGTACACATGTGGATTGCATTATATTTTGGGGAGCAGTGCCATGTTCTGTGATTTCATGGATGATGGCTTCGTATCAAGTGTAAAGGGAAATCAGAGATGAACCATTTGTGGTAAGTCATTATAGGGATCTGCAAACCACTTCCACATGTGCTTGAGTGGGGCTGGCTTAGTCTTGGTGTGTGAGTGTGAAAATGGCTGTCCTCTTAGGGAGGTAACAAAGTCACACTTGAGTGTGTGTGCTAAGGGAAGCCAGCTAAAGGAAGAGGGGATTCAAGGTGATGGAGCCAGAGCTAGTCTGAGATACTTTGTGTCCCTTAGATCGAGGTCAAGCATCCTCTTGAGCATTTGGTGAAAACTGTGGCCATTCCCCCTGGAAAACAGACATGTATGCATACATAGCATCTGGCATATCCTTTACATATGTGTCACATATATTTGCATATGATTTCAGCTACAGTCATCAGGGATCCTGCTGCTCTAGAGATGGATTGACTTATGCTTTCATTGATCTATTTCAGTGATGTTTACCTTAACAGGTTGTAGACTGGTGGAGGAAATCCAGAAGGTAGAGAATCCGTCAGTCTCATTTGCCTCTTCTTTCCCCCTTATTCCTCTTCTCACAAGAGGCAAGAGCGTTCAGAGGAAACAAGCAGAGAGTAAAAGCCAGATAAAGGTAATGCACACACTTCAGTAACACCCACTGGAGCTTGCTGAGCAGTGCCAAGAGTGGCCATGGAGGGGCATAGTGGGGTGGGCCTTGTTCCCAAGTCTCTCTTTGGAGTGCCTTTCCTGATGGTGAGTCCCTAGGCTCCCAGGCAAAGCCCTGGATCTCGTGTACAGCCTCATTCCTCATGGTGCCACCTAGCACCTGTTGCCAGAGCTGGAAAGCAGACCCTTTCCTCCATGACAAGGATGGCCATGAGAGTCTCCTCCCTCAGCCTCTTTCTCATGTCACTCCTGTCTCCCCCACCCTCTGCTCTCTTCCCAGCTCCATACTCAGAGTGCTCCCTTTGGACTGTGTCCCAAGGGCCTGATGCTTACACAGGCTCCAAGCTCCATCATGAGGTCCAGGAACAGCAGGGACCACACCGTGAACTCTGGCGGATCCTGCCTGAGTACCAGCACGGTGGCCATCCCCGCCATCAATGACAGCAGTGCAGCCATGAGTGCCTGCAGCACCATCAGTGCCCGGGTAAGGATACAGCCAGGGCAGGCAGAGCAGGGTGTAGCAGGGCCAGGGCAGGGCATGGGAGGCAGGGCACTGGGGTGGGAATCTGAGAGGCCCTGACTCTTCCCTATGCATCTTAGCACTAGACCCTGTCTAGACTTTCCTTGTCACCTTTTTTCCACTCAGGAAAGAAAATATTACATTGGCCATCGAATACACTCAGTAAATATTGAAACTGAGAATGTAAGCTCCAAGAGAAAAGGGATTTGTCAGTCCTGTTCACCATTGTAGCACCAAGCACACTGGAGTGCTGGGAGCAGTGAGTGCCCGAGAGGCCATGGGATAGGAGAGTGCCAGAGAGGAATGAATCAGAGGCTGGTTGGATAGCCAGGATTTCTCTTTCCTCAGAAAGTTCTTCTGGCCTTGACCCCTAGGACTTTGTGTTTGACCAATAATGTATGGATGCTGTTTACTTTTTGCAACTCTTTGTAGTTCTCTCTATGTGATGATGCAGCTGTCCAGGGGTGTGACTATGGGTATGGCTTTGTGTATGATACAGTGTGTGTCCGTGTGGTGTGGTATACAGTGCCTAGCTCCTTAGATGTGCTGCCCTTGCCTCCCTGTGAATGGAGGGTCATGTTTTAGAAGACATCTCTCTCCTCTGTGCCATTCCGGGCCTGTTTGCCCTTGGATTCACTCACTGCCCTTCCCTGCTCTGCTTTGAGCTAGTAGGAGATTGGAAAGTGGGAGGAAGGGAGAAGCCGGGGCATTTCTCTTCCTCTCTCTGCTGTTCACGGTGTCTCTGTCAGCAGCTGCATTTCCCCTGTGGCTCCAGTTCCCACCAGACAGGCCTCAAGGCTGTATTGACCCCACCACTTCTCACCTAGGTGTGGTGGCAGCTTCTTGATGTTGCCAACTCCCAGGTTCCTTCACTACCCATGGTTATGCAGTAAATTCCCTGGTTTTTGTTGTTGTTGTTGTTTGTTTGTTTTTTCTTTTTTCTAGACAGAGTCTTGCCCTGTCACCTGGGCTGGAGTGCGATGGCACAATCTCGGCTCACTGCAACTTCTTCTTCCTAGGTTTAAGCGGTTCTGCTGCCTCAGCCTCCCGGGTAGCTGGGATTACAGGTTCCTGCCACCATACCCGTCTAATTTTTTGTATTTTTAGTAGAGACAGGGGTTTCACTATGTTGGCCAGGCTGGTGTTGAACTCCTGACCTTGTGATCTACCCACCTCGACCTCCCAAAGTGCTGGGATTATAGGCGTGAGCCATTGCGCCTGGCCACAGTAAATTCCCTGTTTTAAACATTCAGAGTGGCTTTTGTTTTCTTACCTGGACATTGGCTGATGCACCAACTGATATTTATGGTAAATTACCTCCCATAATCCATGTCACCTTTCTTCCATAGGTGACTCAGGAAAGAAAATAGTATGTTGGCCATCAGACACACTCAGTAAATATTGAAACTGAGAATGTAAGCTCCAAGAGAAAAGGGATTTGTTGGTCCTGTTCATCATTGTAGTCCCATAGCTAGCACAGTGTCCGGTGCATTATAGGTACTCAAAAAATATCTGTTGAATGGATGACTATATCCTTATATTATGCAACAATATAAAAGCAATACTTGGTCAAAGATTTTAAAAATGGTGGCCAGGCATGGTGGCTCATGCCTGTAATCCCAGCACTTTGGGAAGCCAAGGTGGGTAGATTACCTGAGGTCAGGAGTTCAAGACCAGCCTGACCAACATGGTGAAACCCTGTCTCTACAAAAATAGAAAAATCAGCCGGGCATGATGGTGAGTGCCTGTAATCCCAGCTACTTAGGAAGCTAAGGTGAGAAAATTGCTTGAACCTAGGAGGCAGAGGTTGCAGTGAGCTGAGATTGTGCCATTATACTCCAGCCTGGGCGACAGAGCGAGACTTTACAAAAAAAAAAAAAAAAAAATACATATATATATATACACATACACACACACACACACATAGTATAAAATATATATATACACATATATAGTATAAAATACACACACACACACACATATATATAATGCCAATGAGTTGAGTGCTCATGGCAATGACCGTGGTAGGAAAAGGCAACCAGTTCATCCTCCCTCCACCTTACCACCCCAGGGAGGGTTTCCATGCCCCCTCCTTCTTCATCTAGAAAGGGGTGATGGATAAGCCTATGGAAAGATTTTCCATTACAGATGGAAATGCTGCACATGGCAGTGCTAGCGTCAGTCACCAGGAGCAGCCCTTAGAGTGGCCTCAGAAGTCAGGAATGGGTGAGGTGAACAGCAGACAAATTGACTCCTCCTCTGCCCCACCAGCCAATTGAGGAATGGGAGAGGGAATGGTGCAGAGGGAACTGTGGTCTGGAAAAGGGCCTGGGATAGACTGCTCTAGCTAGGAGAGGCGTCTGTAGCAAGGGGCAGGGCTGGGAGAAAGAAGAGGGGAGGAGGTACCTAATGGGGTGGTATCTGAGGGCGCACTGAAGAACAGAACAGAAGCCTGCATTTGTGTGCTTGCACAGAGTGGCTGATGGGGCTGCCCAGGGAAGGCTTCAGGGGCAGGGGCTCTAGTTGCAAAACAGTTCCGGTCTTGGAAGAGGTGATATCTGACTTCAGGGCCTACCTGCCTCTCACTATCTGTCTCCAGACCATCCCCCAGGGGTGAGGGGTGGTGTCAATCATTGTTTTTCTGTCTTGTCCTTTATTTTCTTGGTGGTGGAGGAGGAAGACCTTCACCTGTTCTCTGGATCTTGGCATCCTACCTTGCTGATACATCCTTTCTGCTCCCCCTTCTCCCTGCCACCCGAACAGCCTGCAAGCTCCGTGGACACTCAGATGCACTCCCCAAAGAAGCAGGAGAGAGTGAAGAAGAGGGTCATCTGGGGCATTGAGGTGGCCGAGGAGCTGCACTGGAAAGGCTGGGAGCTAGGAAAGGAGACCACAAGGAGTCTGGTTCTGAAAAATCGATCCTTGAAACTCCAGAAGATGAAGTACAGGTACCAGTATAAGGGATCAAGGACCCAGTGCCAGAGCATTGAGCCCTGAAAGCAGGCTCTCTTCAAAACAAAACAAAACAAACAAAAAACCTTCAACATCCCATATAAAAGCCAGTGAGTGTTTAACACACTTGCAGTATGAATAATTGTGCAGCTATAGTCTATTCTTTTTCACTGTGGTATAGTGTCCCAATGTGTGCCTGTACCATAATGCATTCATCCAGAATGAAGCGAGTTTGGACTGTTTCTAGTTTGGGACTGTTACCAACATTCGTGTATATGTGTCCAGTTACATAAGTACAAGAGTTTTTCTGGGGAATACCGGGTACTATGAAGGCTCACATGATTTTGGGGTCTTATGAAAGTGGTTTTTTGTTTGCTTGTTTGTTTTTCTGCGTGGTTGTTAAATTAATGTCCTTGCGGGATGGAGCCATCTATTCTGCCACCTTGCTCCACCTTCTGTCTTTTCTGGGGAATAGACGCAGGAGTAGAATTGCTAAGGCTTAGGCCATGTACCTGTTCACTTTCTGTAGATAAACCAAATTGTTTCCCAAAGTGCACAGATTTCTTTAGACGCCCACCAGCAGCGTTAGAGAGTTCCCATTCCTCCACATCCTTACCAATAACTGCTATTGTCAGAATTTAAAATTTTTGCCAGTAATGGTAACTTGTGGTTTTAATGTGCATTTCCCTGATTACTGATGAATGAGGATGAGTGTCTTTTTGTAGGTTATTGACCCTTTGCATTTCTTCATGTGTGAAATTTATGATCAAGTCTGTGGCCATTTTTCTATTACATTATCTTTTCTTTCTTCTTTTTGGTATAAGTTCTTATCCCAATTAAAAACCCTTTGCCAGTTATGCATTGTGGATATCTTCTCTCATCTTATGATTTGTCTTTACTCTCTTTATTGTGTCTTTTGAAGAATAAAAGTTCTGAATTTTAAAGGTATCAACTTTATCAGTCTTTTTCTTTTATGATTGGTGCTTTTTTATGCTTTTCCTAAGAAGTCCTTTTCTACCCCGAGGTCATTAAGATATTTTCCTCTAGTATCTTCTAAAGACTTTGTATTTTTGCCTTTTAATATTTGTCTTTTATCTATATGGAATTGATTTTTATGAATAGTAAATTTTGATATCTGGTTGTATAAGTCCTCCTACTTAATTCTTCTTCTTCTTCTTTTTTTTTTTTTGAGACTGAGTCATGCTCTGTCGCCCAGGCTGGAGTGCAGTGGCGCTATCTCAGCTCACTGCAAGCTCCGTCTCCAGGGTTCACGCCATTCTCCTGCCTCAGCCTCCCAAGTAGCTGGGACTACAGGCGCCCACCACCACGCCCAGCTAATTTTTTGCATTTTTAGTAGAGACGGGGTTTCACCGTGTTAGCCAGGATGATCTCGATCTCCTGACCTCGTGATCCACCCTCCTCGGCCTCCCAAAGTGCTGGGATTAGAGGTGTGAGCCACCGCGCCTGGCCTTAATTCTTCTTCAAGATTGTCTTAGCTATTCTTGGCCCTTCTTTTGATCTTTTATATAAATATTCAAATCAGCTTATCATACATGCACATAAAACTCTTCTGGAGATTTTGATTGGGATTTAATTGGACCTATAGATGAATATGGGGAGAAATGATATCATTACAATATTGAGTCTTTTAATCCATGAACACGGGCTATCTCTATATTCATTAGGTTATTTTTCATGTCTCTCAATAAAGTGTAAAGTTTTCTCCATAGACATTTAGCACATCTTTAGTTAGATTTATTCATAAGTATTTTATATTTTTGCTGTTGTTATATATGACATATTTTTTAGTTGTTTCATTTCTGTCGCTAGTTTTAAAAATGTCATTTTTATATAGGTATTGTGTTCAGTGTCTTGGCAAATCCTCTTATTAATTCTAATAATTTATTTGTTAGTATTCTTGTTTTTTCATGCACACATTTGTATTTTAAATGGAAAATGACGTTATTTTTTTCTTTCTAGTCCTTATACTTTTTGTCTTTCCTTACTGTGTGTTGAACAGAAGTGGTTATAGAGCCATCTTTGTTTTGTTTATCATCTCAGAGTAAAGGACTGCAATGTTTCACCATTAAGCTGTCTGGTAGGATTGATTTCCTGTAGGATTTCTGTAAAAGTGTATACATTGTCAGATTATGGGACTATTCTTCTATTCCTGCTTTGCTGAGAGGTTTTCTCATAAACACACATTAAAGTTTATCTAATTTCTTCTTTCTTTTTTTCTTTTCTTTCTTTTCTTCCTCTCTCTCTTTCTTTCTTGTTTTTTTGAGACAGGGTCTCGCTCTATTGCCCAGGCTGGAGTATAGTGCATTAACATGGCTCACTGTAGCCATGACCTCCTGGGCTCAAGCAATCCTCCTACCTCAGCCTCTCAGGTAGCTCGGACTGTAGGCATGCACCACTATGCCTGGCTAATTAAAAGAAACTTTTTTTTATATAAACAGTATCTTGCCATGTTGCCCAGGGTGGTCTCGAACACCTGGGCTCAAATGATACTCACGCCTTAGCCTCTCAAAGTGCTGGGATTCCAGATGTGAGGCACTGTGCCTGGCCTGTGGAAAGGTTTTTGACCACCCATTCCATGTTTTGGTGTTTTTAGGCAGAGCAGCCATAATATTTATTATACAATTATTGGGTCAGTTTTGATAAATTATATTTTTATAGCAATTTTTTTCATCTAAATTTAAACATTTGTTGATGTAAAGTTGCTGACAATGTCATCGTCTTATTAATGTTTTGAAAGTCTGCAGCAGCTGTGGTTCTGACCCACTGTGGGATGCTACAGCTCTGCTGAGGTCTCTGGAAAGGCATCCCCGGTCCCACCCTCCTCAGCTTTGGTTCCCCTGCCTCAGTGCTTGGGGACTCTTTAAAATCTGGGCAACCCTTCCCTGTCCCTGTCCCTTTCAGGCCTCCCTACTCATCAGAGGTACAAACACTACTCCCTTTTTTGTTCAGAGTGAAGATCTCTGAGAATAGGAGGGGGAGGAGGAGAACGGGTCCTCTCGTAACCAAACCCCTGAGTTTCCACCTCCATGTGCTCATCTCTTGATCTCTTTCTCTGTGGACCCAAGGACTCAAGCTCCCTTGGCTGCAGGGCTTCCCTCATTTCCTGCCTCTTCCAGTTGTTCTGAGCCCTGATCTGAGGTGCTCACCTCCTGGCTCTCTCCTACAGGCCCCCCAAGACCAAGTTCTTCTTCACAGTCATCCCTCAGCCCATCTTCCTGAGCCCAGGCATAACCCTCACGCTCCCCATTGTCTTCCGGCCTCTGGAGGCGGTAAGGTCTGCCACAGTGAGTGAGGGCAGGGAGGCACCTGGGAACAGTGACCTCAGAACAGAAAGCAGGACAGAGCAACTAGGAGCACCCCCCCCCGCCCCGCCACACACACACACACACACACACACACACACACACACACACACATGCTGCCCACTCCAGCAGCAATCCAGCTTGGGAGGCCCTGTCAAGGGCTTGGCCCCTCATCTCATTAGACAGAGGGTGCTCCCCAGGGGATGCTGGGGGTAGAGGCTGCAATATTATATTGACCATCAGAAAGCCCTACATTCCGTGGCCGGGGATGGTGACTCATTTCTGTAATCCCAGCACTTTGGGAGGCCGAGGCAGGCAGGTCACTTGAGGCCAGGAGTTTGAGACCAGCTTGGCCAACATGGCAAAACCCCATCTCTACTAAAAAATACAAAAGTTAGCCGGGTGTGGTGGCGCATGCCTGTAGTCCCAGCTACTTGGTAGGCTGAGGCAGGAGAATCACCTGAACCAGGAGGCGGCTGTTGCAGTGAGCTGAGATCTCACCATTGCACTCCAGCCTGGGTGACAGAGTGAGACCCCCCCCCAAAAAAGAAACCCCTTCTACATTCCTTGGCCTCTTCCTGCCACCCCCCACACACATTTCCTCAAAATACTTTTTCTACAAAAGAGACTCTAATCTTTGAGACCAAGACAACATAGATGCCCAGCTCCCCTCAGAGTCTGACGTGGGGACCACGGCCCAGCCCTTCCCTCAGTGGTTGTGTTGGGGGTGGCTGAGGGTGGGCTGGATGTGCAGTCCCTGAGTGCCACTGATGGGTGACTGCCTCTGCCCCGCCTCACACTACAGAAGGAGTACGTGGACCAGCTGTGGTTTGAGAAAGCGGAGGGGATGTTCTGTGTGGGCCTGCGGGCCACCCTGCCCTGCCACAGACTGATCTGCCCGCCATCCCTGCAGCTGCCCATGTGTGCTGTGGGGGACACGACCGAGGCCTGGTTCTGCCTGGATAATGTGGGGTGAGGAAGAGGCTGAAGTGCAGGCGGGGAGAGCAAGAGCTGTGAGGAGGGTGTCTGGAAGCAGGAGAGACAGGCATACCCTTGTGGGGGTAGGGTAGTCTGAGGTTCTGCCCAGCATCCCTGACTTGTTACTGCAGGAGCAGTGGCCAGAAGCCCAGTGCCCTGACCTGCCCCCCACCCTCAGGGACCTGCCCACCTTCTTCACCTGGGAGTTCTCCAGCCCATTCCAGATACTGCCAACCATGGGACTCCTGGAGCCAGGCCAGGCCTCTCAGATCAAGGTGACCTTTCAGCCCCTTACAGCCGTCATCCACGAGGTGCAGGCCACATGCTGGTATGGGGCGGGCAGCCGACAGAGGAGCAGCATCCAGTTGCAGGCTGTGGGTGAGGCCCGACCTCCCACCATCCCCAGACTGGCCCCTGCTGCACCTTCTGGGGCCTCCAGGCCTCAGTGTCCCCCACCTCCCATCTGGCCTGCCCTCCACAGGGCCTCCACCGGCCTCCTGCCCTCCCCCCAGCCCCGAAGGCTTTGCCTTTGTCTTCCATGATGCTACAGACTAAATTTTCCCTGGGGCTATCTGCCTTCTTCGAGGGGCTGTTCAGCTGGGGCCACAGAGGCCCTGGCGGTTTCCCCCAAGACTCCCCCATCTCTGACCCAGCGAAGTGTGCCCAGCTGCTGGTGAGCATAAAGCACAAGTGCCTGGAGGACCAGGATGCCGAGGGCTTCCAGAAGCTGTTGTACTTCGGCTCTGTTGCTGTGGGCTGCACCTCGGAGAGGCAGATCAGGCTACACAACCCGTCGGTGGTAGGCACCAGGCGGGAGGGGTGGCAGGACTCATGGCCTCCAGGACTGGAGTCTCCTAAAATCACCACCTTACTGAATGCCCCCCTTTCTTTCTACACCTTTGGCCCCAAGCCTCATACAACCCATGTCAGCTGTCAATAGGTGTGTCCTTCTCCTCAGCTGGGGGCTGAGCTGGGGTATACCCCAGCCAGAGCCACGAGCAGCCCTAAGACTGTCCTGACCCCGGGACCACAGTTAGCTGTGATAGTACCTTGGGGAGAATTAAAAGGCAGGTCCAGCGCAGGGCACATGACTCGGCTCCTTCTCTCCAGAATGTGGAGGCAGTCTGGCTAGTGAGGCACAGGGTGGATGCCAGCTGCTCCTACCCCTTTGGCTGGGCACGCCAGTACAATGCATAGACTGTCGCATTGTACAGTGCTCCACTCCGCGACCTGACCCCTTGTCCTTCTACCTGGCCCTACAGGTAAATGCCCCCTTCAGGATTGAAATTTCCCCAGAAGAACTGGCTGAAGACCAGGCCTTCTCATGCCCCATGGCCCGTGGCGTTGTGCTCCCGGGAGAAAAGAAATGCGTGTCAGTGTTCTTCCACCCCAAGACTCTGGACACCAAGACTGTGGACTACTTCTCCATCATGCCTTCTGGCTGTGCCTCCAAGACCCTGCTCAAAGTCGTTGGTTTCTGTAGAGGTACTGGTGACCCCAGCGGTCTCCCCTGGGGACAGGAGCAGCCCATGCTGAGGATTCTGAAGAGCTCCTTCCCTGCTCCTAAGAACCAGGGCCACCTTGCCTCAGCCTGGGTGTCTGCTGCCCTCTGGTGGCCCCGTGGGGAATCATTTGTGACTACCTGGAGATTCCAGTCCCACGGGCACCCAGTGATGCTGGAGTTCTGCTCAGGCTGCCAGGGCTCTGGGCCTCTGTAGCCTGGCCCTGAGAGTACCACCTCCTTTCAGTGGGACCTTGTCTAAGATATTCTTGGGGAAGCTGATACCTCATCTCCTGTGTCCAGTCCCTGCTGTGTCCCTGCAGCACTACTCTGTCAACTTCAGCTGCGTCAACCTTGGGGAGCGCTCTGAGCAGCCTCTGTGGATTGAGAACCAGTCGGACTGCACGGCCTACTTCCAGTTTGCCATCGACTGCCTGGAGAGTGTCTTTAGCATCAGGCCTGCCTTCGGGACCCTGGTGGGCAAGGCCCACATGACCCTGCGCTGTGCCTTCCAGCCCACTCACCCCATCATCTGCTTTCGGCGTGTGGCCTGTCTCATCCACCACCAGGTGAGTCGTGGGGAGGGCATGAGGCTGAGGGAGGAGGGGCTCCCCTGGGGCCCAGTGATGGTGACAAGGCTTGGTGGGCACTCCCCTGTATTCTGGAACTTCTAGAGCTGTCTGCCTGGTCGTCTCCCACTCCTGGGTCCCAGCCCTAGCTTTTGGAGCCAGTGTGCGGCCTGGGCACAGGGGAGATCACTCTGTGCTAGTCTTGCCCTGCTACCAGGCCAGGTGCTTTGCCGCTGCAGTGCTCATGGGCTGGGAGAGGGCGGTTTGGACCTGCGGCCCCCCACTCTCCCGCCGAGCCCTGCAGGCTTTGCCTTTTCTTGGCCTTCCATGACTTCATAGACTAATTCTTCCCTGGAGCCACCCCACATAGCATGCATAGGGCAGAGAGCTTTCAAGTTAGACCCCAACCCTAGGCCCCTGGGCATGATCAGACACACTGTGCCCTGACCAGCGGGGCCTGGCCAAGATGGCAAACAAGGCTGAAATGTAACCCATAATCCCCCCCTGAGCTAGTGCCCAGGCTCAGGCTGTGTCTGTGTATCTGGAGGAATGGGTGCCTTTCTCTAATTCTCGTGACAGTTTAGTATGGGCTAGGGGAGGCCTTGGGAATGGAGGAAAGAACAGAAGCCCAGAGGGAGGCCTGACGAGGCCGCATTTTCTCCTCCCTTGGGAGGGCCGGAATTCTAGTTTGGCAGGCCTCTGGGCTGGCAGTAGGGTGGGTGGGAGAATGCCCAGGGGCCATGGCAGAGGGGGAGGGTGGGCAATGGCTGAGTGTCATAAGGACAGGGGTGCTCTCTCCTGACCTTCCCTGGACTCCTGCTGTGTCCTGGCTGAGCCAGACCACTGCTAAGTGCTCGCTCACTGGCCACCTGGAGCTTCTGCCCCACTGCCTGTTACCCTGTCTGCCCAGCTTCTGTCCTCAGTTCAACCCCCCAGCAACCCCCTTGCCCCACCACCCCTCCCATGCCCCATCACGCACAGACAAATGTCACAGGACCCACTGTTCCTGGACCTGATGGGGACCTGCCACTCGGACAGCACCAAGCCAGCCATCCTGAAGCCTCAGCACCTCACCTGGTACCGTATACACCTGGCCCGGGGCCTGACGCTCTACCCCCCTGACATCCTGGATGCCATGTTGAAGGAGAAGAAGCTGGTGCAGGACCAGAACGGGGCCCTCATGATTCCCATCCAGGTACATGCCCTCCCCAGCTGCATATCCCTTCCCTAGTGATTCTTGGGCAATCCGTGCCCCCAGGGTCCCACGGGCACCATTAGTAGTCGGGGTGACTGGTGCAGCCTTTCCTAGACAGAAGTGTATCCAGGAGGGGCCACAGCAAGAGGAATGGCAGTTGGGCCCTGTCCACCTCTTTCCCCATGCAGGATCTGGAGGACATGCCGGCCCCGCAGTACCCTTATATCCCCCCCATGACCGAGTTCTTCTTCGACGGCACCAGCGACATGACCATCTTCCCCCCACCCGTCAGTATAGAGCCTGTCGAGGTAGACTTTGGTGCCTGCCCAGGGCCTGAGGCCCCCAACCCTATACCCCTGTGCCTGATGAACCACACCAAGGGCAAGATCATGGTGGTCTGGACACGGAGGTCTGACTGCCCCTTCTGGGTGACCCCAGAGACCTGTGACGTGCCCCCTCTCAAGTCCATGGCCATGCGCCTGCACTTCCAGCCGCCTCACCCCAACTGCCTTTACGCGGTGGAGCTCGAAGCCTTTGCCATCTATAAGGTGTGTGCACACAATGAGAGGGAGGAATGCGGGGTCTCTGCTGGGAGCCTGAACGGCTGGGTGGGGTGGCAGGGGGTGACCGAGGGCAGCTTCGGGCTCCATCCTCTGCGTGCTAGGCTTTCTGTTGGCTGGACAGCAGCCCCTATGAGTTTGTCTCCTCCAAAGCTCCTGGCCCAGCTAGGTCCATCTGATTTTCTCATTCTTATGTAAGTCTCCCCTCCCCTCCAAGGGAGGATTCAGCTGAGATCGAGCTGTTTGGGAAAACTGGGTGCACAGGGGGACACTCCCTGGGGTTCCTGGCTAGGAGGCCTCCTGGCTTCTCTACTAGTACTTGAATTAAGAAGTGGTCCCTCTAAAGGAGCTTTGAGTGGGCAGAAACCTGGCCCTGGAGACAAAGTCAGCAGCACCAGATGATTGTGATGGGAGGGGCTTCTAGCTCAGCTTCCCTGGGTCAGGGAACTCTGAGTGCTGGCTGTCCCCAGCCCTGCTGTTCTGGCCCCAGATGCATGGTGCTCTCTCCTCATCCGTTAGTCCTGCCTGTCCCTTTCTTATTGGCTCTGCTCACCCCACTGCCCTTGCCCAGTGGCCAAGGTGTTGGGGCCCAGAGAAGAGTGGGGCTGTGAGGCAAGATCAGGGTCACTTACCAGCTGTGTGACCTTGGGCAAGTTCCTTAATGTCTCTGAGTCCTGATCTTGTCATCTCTAAACTTAAGACCACATCCGATCTTTTGAGGAGGCTTTCCAAAGTGGAGGCTTTAGTTGCCCCCATCCTAATGCCTTGGCAGTGGGGTGACGTGGAGGTTTGTAGGAACAAGGTTGTAGACGCCTGGCTCTGCTGAGGCTGAGCCTATCAGATATTTAGGTTACAGGCTGTAGACCTGCACAGTCCAGTACAGCCACTGTCAGCCACACGTAGCTACTGAGCTCTTAATATGTGGCTGGTCCCAATTGAGAAGTGCTGTGAGTGTAAAATGCACACTGGATTTCAAAGACAGGATCAAAAGAATGTAAAATATCTCATTACTAATTTTATATTGGTTATATGTTAAAGCGATAAGATTTTAGATCTATTGGGTTAAATAAAATATACTATTAACATTAACTTCATGTGTTTTACTTTTTTAATGTGGCTACTGGAACATTTAAAATGACATTTGCGGCTGGCATTTGTGGCTCACATGATATTTCTATTGGCCAGCGCTTCTCTAGGCTCATTCCTACAGAATGAATGGTGCTTTCACATCCCAGCCCCACCCTCCTCCTGGGTTGTGAGGACTAAAGAGAGCGTTGCTGTACGGACGCAGGGCCTAGCTCCCTGCGGGAGGGGCTTGGTTGGGATGCTTGTTCTCTGCACTGTCTTCCCAGGGAGGCCCTCCTGTCTGTGTCCAGTGTAGGACTCCAGCAGCACAAGGGTAGGGAGGGGCAAGGTGGGGCACCCCACAGGGCAGACACAGGACTCTGAGCTTTTCCGTGGGTCTGGCCCCCCTGCAGGTCCTGCAGAACTACAGTAATATTGAGGAGGACTGTACCATGTGCCCATCCTGGTGCCTGACGGTGCGGGCGCAAGGCCACAGCTATTTCTCTGGCTTTGAGCACCACATCCCCCAGTATTCCCTAGATGTCCCCAAGGTGAGTGTGGCCCCAACAACAGTGGGAGGGAGACAGAAAAGCCCTAGATTCTACCTTGGCCTGCAGATCCCTCTCCCCTTCTCTGATGGCCTCAGAAACACATCTTTGCACCCTCCCTGGCTGTTCCCACCTCCGCCGTGCCAATTCTGGGGATCTGGGCCAGTTGAGGACTTGCTCCTGGGCCCTGACACTGGGACTGGGGAGAGTCTGGGGCCTGGACAGCTGGCCCCTTGCTGCTCCATTGGAAATACTCACTGGCTCCTGTGACTCTCAGGTTCAAAACCCTCCAGCTCCTGCATTTGTTTGTGTCCTGTTTACTGAATGCCTGGGTGCCCCAAGTCCTGGGTTCGGGCCCAGGGATGAGACAGCCACACCAGCAGCCCCTGCCTTTGGGAAGCACCCTTCCCTATGAGAGTGACAGCCAGCCCCATCCTCAGGAGATCATAATTCCCAGGCCACCCCAAGGCCCTTAGAAGCCCTGACCTGACAAGCAAGAGGACATAGGGCTGAAAAGCACAGAGCCTGGGGCCAGACCTTGGGCTTCCAATCCAGTTTCGCCTTCGATGTCTCCTCCAGTCTCCATCGCCTGGAGGTTTTGCATTAGACATCTGGTTGCTGGAAAAGTACCACTTTGGGACAATGTGCTTTGGGTTGATTCTGCTCCCCTCACCACCTACACTTCTGCCCTCCTATCCCGAACCTATGCCACCCCAGGATTCAGCTTGGAGGCCGCTGCTTCCCAAAGGCCTTCCTGCCTCACAGAGTCCCCCTCAATACCTCCCTCAGCCCCCTTCCCTTGGCAGTTCCTCCTGGTGGGTTGTGGACTTTATGCAGCCCAGCAGATCTGGTGTCACTCCCTCACTGGCTCACACACAGGCACTGTCACCCCAGCTGGATGGGGACCTCTGGTCAGGAATTGCAGGTTTTGTGTTTTGCAGCCTGCTCAGCTCTCAGCTGGTGCTGGCCACACCCTGGATGCCTGAAGAGTGTTGGGAGCTGAGATTGTCCGGGCTGGTTTCCATCAGTTACCTGCGTGAGAATCATCTAGAAGGGGTTACTTGCTTTTTTATTTTGTATTTGCTGATATAGAATTTTGCTCTGTCACCCAGGCTGGAGTGCAGTGGTTCGATCTTGGCTCACTGCAACCTCTGCCTCCTGGGTTTGAGCGATTCTGTGGCCTCAGCTTCCCATGTAGCTGAGATTATAGATGCATGCTACTACAACTGGCTAACTTTTGTAATTTTAGTAGAGATGGGGCTCACCATGTTGACCTGGCTGGTCTTGAACTCCTGCTTCAAGTGATCCACCCGCCTCAGCCTCCTAAAGTGCAGGGATTACAGGCATGAGCCACCGCACCCGGCCCGAAGGGGTTAGTTACTGCAGTCCAAGAGCTTCTGGACCAGGCTCTCTGAAAATGAGTTATCCAAAGGGTGACGCAAAGACACCCTAAAATGAAACAATTTCTACTTTATCCTTGAGGAGTGGCCTTGGAGGCCTGAGTTTCCCAGGGGCCTGTGGCCCCCTGTCTCCTTGTCTGGAGGTCTCTGGAGAACAAAAGCATTCTTTGGTGTCAGCTCATGGCCTCCTTCAATTCCCTGTTCCCAGGGCGTTGACTGGGCTGCAGGGCAGCACCTCGGATTTCCTTGGAGACAACTCCTCCCAAGCCCCCATTCGGCCCTGTGTCACAGGGTGGGACTCTGAGCAGGGGCCGCTTTCCTCCTCTCCCACCCTCAGCTGTTTCCAGCAGTGTCCTCCGGTGAGCCCACCTACCGCAGCCTGCTCCTGGTCAACAAAGACTGCATGCTGCTGACCTTTAGCCTGGCCCCCCAGAGAGGCTCAGATGTCATCCTTCGGCCCACCTCGGGCCTTGTGGCACCCGGGGCCCACCAGATCTTCCTCATCTGCACCTACCCCAAGGGCATCTCCTGGAAGCAGCACACTTTCTACCTGCAGTGCAATGCTTCCCCCCAGTATCTCAAGGTAGGAGGCAGAGGTAGGGGACCTGGGTCCTTGGGAATGGGCCATAATCTTGAACCACCCTTTTCAAGGCCACATTCTGGGGTTGGCCCCTAAGATTTCCAGGGAGCCACTTCCCCTCCAGGAAGTAGCATAGTAGGGAAGGAACCCCCTTGACCACACTGTGAACAACTTTCTCACCCCTCAGGACCTTGCCTGTCCACCCCATGGGGTCTGAGGCCAAGAAAGAGAGTGCAGAGAACCCAGAGGAAGGATCTGGGGGAGGCAAGACACCTGCAGGTGGTAGAGGGATATTTGGGGCCAGGCCAGCAATAGGTTCTGGGGTGGTGGGTCCATGTCTGGCCCCATGAAATGGTCTATAGATCCTCTCTCAGTCCCTGAGTTCTTTTCAAGAATTATCTCCTGGGCCAGTCACCACTGACTCTGCTTTTGACAGAAACTGCCATTCTACAGGCTGGCAGAGGGCCTTTCACTGCCTGCTTCAAGGGGGGAAAGTTGCCTAGCCATGGCTTCCTGGACATGTGGGTGGAGCTGGGACTGCAGAGTGAGGTCAGGGCACTGCCCTCCTTCCTCTGGCTCTAGGAGGTGAGCATGTACAGCCGGGAGGAGCCGCTGCAGCTGAAGCTGGACACCCACAAAAGCCTCTACTTCAAGCCCACCTGGGTGGGCTGCTCCTCCACCAGCCCCTTCACCTTCCGTAACCCCTCGCGTCTGCCCCTGCAGTTCGAGTGGAAGGTCTCTGAGCAGCACCGAAAGCTGCTGGCTGTCCAGCCCTCTAGGGGGCTAATCCAGCCCAACGAGAGACTTGTGAGTGACTCCCCTCCTCCAAGTGATGGCAGCCTTCACCTCTGTCATCTCTTACTTGTGCCTATCATAGCCCAGACTTGCCAACTGCACCCCCTATTCCATCCACAGTAACCTCCCCCACCTGGTGATGAGGTGTTAATATTCCTCTCACCATCCCCCTACCATTTTACAGATAATTGAGGCTTGGTGGGGCAGCCATTTACTAAGAGCATAAGTTAGGCCATGCAGGGCTGGGTCTAGACCCAGTGTTTCTGATGCCAGGGCTGAGGGGCATGTCACCTCCCCATCCATGGTCCCCAAAGCTGGGAGGTCACTGGGAGGGTGGGTTGCAGCAGCTGGATTTGGGTCCAAATGGCCAGCCACCAGTGAGGGTGAGGAAGGGGACTGTAGTCATAGCAGGGGTGCTGGCTGGGATTCAAAATAGCAGATTCCTGTCCTTAGTCTAGAGCCTTACAGATGGGCTGGGGAGGCCAAACTTGGGACAAGAAGCACCAGCACAGGCATCTGTAAGAGCCTGGGGGACAGTCCCTTGCGGGGACAAGAGGCCTCATAGCCTGTGGAGTTGGCCTGGAGTGTTGACACCCTGCTCCCACCTTCACTGCTGTCTGACCCTGGGCAAGGGACCCCACTTCGCTGAACCTCCAGTTTCTCATCAGAAAATGAGGCATGGAAATAATGCTACTGACCCCGTGGGGATATAGGATCGAGGGCTTGGGGAGACTCCATGCATGTGCTGTGTACAATGCCTGGCACAGGGTAGATTCTGAGAAAGGGCTGTCAATAGCATGATGCCCTGCAGTGGGGCCTTGGATGGCTGGGTACCCGTGGAGGGGCTTCCGCAGGCCACTGCAGGGATCCTTTCTGTGACCCCAGACGCTGACGTGGACCTTCAGCCCTTTGGAGGAGACCAAGTACCTATTCCAAGTAGGGATGTGGGTCTGGGAAGCTGGCCTGTCGCCAAACACCAACCCCGCTGCCACCACCCACTACATGCTCCGGCTGGTGGGCGTGGGGCTCACCAGCAGCCTCTCAGTGAGTGGGAGGGCTCTGGCAGGAGGGGGCTGGGGGAGGGGCCCGGACATGTGGGAGGGAAGGCCCCAGGGAACCTCACCTCAAGAGGGCAGGGCATAGGAGCCCTCTGCCCTGGACACCCCAAACTTGCTCTTCCTTGGGGGGATGCTCTGAAAATGGGGCTGGGAGAGTGGGGCTGTGGGCCTAGAGGAGCCCCCACTTGCGGCTGGCTGACTGTGGCCTCCAGGCAAAGGAAAAGCAGCTGGCCTTTGGGAATGTGCTGGTGAACAGCAAGCAGTCCAGGTTCCTTGTCCTCCTGAATGACGGCAACTGCACCCTCTATTACCGCCTCTACCTGGAGCAGGGCAGCCCTGAGGCCGTTGACAACCACCCACTCGGTACTTGGGCTTGAGCTGGGACTGGGGCCAGGGGAGGTGAGAGGAGGTACTGGTTAAGATCAGTTAACCTGCTGGGCACATTGGCATGTGACTGTAGTCCCAGCTGTTCAAGAAGCTGAGGTGGGAGTATTGCTTGAGCCCAGGAGTTCCATGCTACAGTGCACTATGATCACAACTGTGAAGAGCCACTGCCCTCTAGCCTGGGCAACATAGCGAGACCCCACCTCTGAGCCTCAGCTTCCTCATCGGTTAAAAGGGGCCACAGGAGGCACCTACCTCACAGGGCTGCTAGGTGGGGAAAAGTGCTTAGCAGGTGCCAGTGACACAAAGTTGGCTGTGGTCCCTCTGACCCAGGCTGGGAGGAGGGGCTCCAGTCCCTGTTTCCAGCCTCAGGGCCTGCTGTCCTCCCCTGGTGCCCAGGGGAGGGTATCTACAAAGGAGCAAGAGGAGAGGCTGGGCCTCCTCTACCCACTGACCCACTGGCATCATCCCTGAGCAGCTCTGCAGCTGGACCGAACAGAGGGGAGCATGCCGCCCCGGTCCCAGGACACCATCTGCCTGACTGCCTGTCCCAAGCACCAGTCCCAGTACTCCTGGACCATCAGTTACTCTCTCCTTTCCCACAGAGGTACCTAGACCGCCTAGCATAGAGAGTCAGGGCCAGGGAAGTGCAGGATGAAGGGGGAGGGCTGTATGAGGCAGTGGATGCCAAGCGTCAGGCAGAGCTGGCAGGGTGAGTGGGGTGTGCTGGAGTGTGCCTCTGGTGTCTGGCATAAATGCCACACACCAGATGTGTCTGTCCAGATGAGTGTCCATATATGCGTATGCCCAATGCAGTTAGGAGCTGTGCTGACTTACTGTGGAATCTTAGCTCCCAAGCCTCCCTGGATGTCATCTTCCTTCTCCGTAAAATGGAGTTCTTACTAGCCTGCCCTAGGCAGGTTGGAAGGAGTCTAGGGCAGCATAGAAAGGAAATTAAGAGTGTGGACTGGGGCCAGAGGCTCTGGACCTGGATCCTGGCTCCAGCACTTGTAACCTTAACAAGTTGCTTCACCTCCCTGTGCACAGTTTCCACATGTCTCAAATGGGGATAATAAGCTGGGCATGGTGGCTCACACCTGTAATCCCAGCACTTTGGGAAGCCCAGGTGGGAGGATTGGTTGAGGCCAGGAGTTCGAGACCAGCCTGGGCAACATAGCAAGACCCCATCTCTACAAAAATAAAAGTATTAGCTGGGTGTGGTAGCATGCACCTGTAGTCCTAGCTACTTGGGAGGCTGAGGCAGGAGGATTGCTTGAGCCCAGGAGGTAAAGGTTGCAGTGAGTAAGCTGTGATTGTGCCACTGCTCTCCAGCCTGGCAACACAGTGAGACCCTATCTCAAAAATGAAATGAAATGAAATAAATAAATAAAAATGGGGATAATAATGTCACACAGGCCAGAAAAGGGAAGCGAAGTCACAATACCTGCCACCACTTGCATGAACTTTGAAAACATTAAGCTAAGTGAAAGAAGCCAGTCACAAAAAGCCACATATTGAATAATTTCATTTATATGAAATGTCCAGAATAGACAGAGGGAGACAGAAAGTAGATTAGCAGTTGCCTGGGGAGGGTGAATGGGGAGGGATAGCTAATTGGTACTAGGCTTCTTTTTGGGATGACGAAAATTTTCTAAAATTAGATAGTAGTGGTGTTTGCACAACTCTGTGAATATACAAAACAAACAAACAAACAAAAACACTGAATCATATGTGTTAAAAGGGTAAGTTACCCAGTATATAATGGTGTCTCAATAAAGCTGTTATTAAACAAAATAGTTTGAAAACAAATCACGGCACACATTAAGTGCAGGCATGTGTATAAGGCACCGAGGACAATGCCCAGTACACAGAAAGTGTCAGACAAGGGCTGGCTGTTGTTGGAAATGCCCTAGAGCCCAAGAGGGGTCCACTGCTCCTGATGAGGGTCCTGGGGCCAACTGCCCAGGACTCCTGCCCCTTTGGCCTGCATGCCCCCTCCAGGGAGGGTGGGAGGCAAGCCCACTTCTCTCTTCCTCACCCCTCTCCCCAGATAACAAGGCTGGGGAGAAGCAGGAGCTGTGTTGTGTCTCCCTGGTGGCCGTGTACCCCTTGCTTTCCATCCTGGATGTCAGCTCCATGGGCAGTGCCGAGGGTATCACCCGGAAGCACCTGTGGCGCCTCTTCTCTCTGGACCTACTTAACAGTTACTTGGAGCGTGACCCCACCCCCTGTGAGCTCACCTACAAGGTGCCCACCCGGCACAGGTGAGCTGAGCCTGGGGTGCGGGTGGGGGCTGGGGGCAGGGCCTATCTAGGGATGTTCATGGAACTTTCTGCCCAGACCCCCAGAACAAGGAAGCTGTTTCCCATCTCTTTGAGGGAAGAGCTCTCCAGTTCTTGCCCATCCCTGGAGGGGCCCAGGGAAGGGAGGAATTGGCTTGAGGTCTGAAGAGCCAGCCCATCCTTGTCCCTGAGTCCCAGATTCTCCAGTTCCCACCTGGAGGGAGGGGAGTGCCCAAGCCAGCCATCCCTGGGAGGGCCCTGCCCTAGCCCCATCCCCATCTCTGAGCTCCTTTCTCTGTTCCACACAGCATGAGCCAGATCCCCCGCATCCTCACCCCTTTAAGGCTTGACTTCAATTTCGGGGCCGCACCATTCAAGGCCCCACCTTCCGTGGTATTCCTGGCCCTGAAGAACAACGGAGTGGTGCCCCTGGACTGGTATGGTTTGAAGGGGGCCACTGGGGGGCCTGGGAGACAAGTGCCTAGAGGCTGAAGGAGAACAAGAGCTGCACTCTCTTGCCAGTGGTGGCCTGGCTGCTTGCTGTCAGTGAAGAGTGGGTCCCTCACTGACGGCTGTGGAGGCCAGGGTGTGACTGGGGTTGCCAGCAGGACCTGGGACCTGTCACTGGCTGAGACGTGGTGATAGGCTCAGAAGTGGTGGGACTGCCCTGATGGAGCCTGGGCATAGTGACCTTAATAGCGTAACAAATGAGACACATTCGCTGGGTATCTGCTGCACACCAGGACCTGCGCTTTACAAGCCTTTTCTCCTCCAGTCCTGTGGGAAACTCCTCTTCTCTAGACTCTTTCATAGACAGGGAGGCTGAGGGTCAGCAAGGTTAAGGACTCAGTAAAGACCATTCAGCCGTGAATGGACACAGCCAGGTTCAAAGCTGGATTTGTCCGGTCCAGAGCCCTTGCCTACCCCAGTTAGTCAGCAAGAAGGCTGAGTTGCTTCTACATAGTATGCACTGGCTCGGTGCTGGGGCCCACCTGACACAGCCCCAGCTTAGTGGAGGCTGGGCCTGAATGGGAGCAAGTTGAGGGTCTCTGGTGGGGAAGGACAGAGACCTACTGCCGGGGACAGAGCTGCCCCCGAGGGTCCTGTCTGAGGGGCTTTTCTCCCCCAGGGGCTCAGAACTTGTGCCCAGCAAACATCCTGCTTCCGTGCCTAGACTTTTCCTCCCTCCACCATGTGCCTTGGTTTCCTAGTAAACTCCCTTTTGATGACTTCCAACTTTGCTTGGCTAAAGAGAGGTGAAAAAAAAAGTGTCTCCATCTGGGTCAGATTTGGGAGACAGATCCAGGGGTCTGGCCAGGGTGTGGCAGTGAGTGGGGGAGAATGAAAATATGCAGGTGGGGCTTCTGTGATCAGGAACTCGCTGGCCTGAGCAGAGAGAGCCTTGGGGAATGTGGGGTGAAAGGGGTGGGGTCTGCATCATCGGGGGGGCACTAGCGGCCCCTCACTCTCTGACTGTCCCCTTTCTCCTCCATGGTGGAGGAAGATGGAGAGACTGGCTCTTTAGGGGGCTCCTGTCTGAGAAGGGCCAGAACTGTGAGTAACTGAGGGCTCCCAGCCCTGAATGACTGGGAAGCTTGGCACAGCTGCCAGTCTGGTGGGGAAGGCCAGGGACTGCCTTGAGCTCCAGACCTGCCATTCACTAGGCTCTTTGAATGGGCCCGGAGCCAGGCCCTACAGGGCTCCAGGGAGAGGGGTGGGGGCAGAAAAAGCAGTGTTGGCCTGTGTCCTGGAGGGGACCGCGCGCCGGTGTTTGTGTAGGAGCAACCAACTCACACTCTCTGTGGAGAGGGTCCAGGCTGCTGGAAACAGAGGCGGGGGAAACCCAGGCAGCATGCCCAGCCAGCCGGACCCATCCATCAGGAGATCATCTGAGGTGCAGGAAGGCAGTCCGTGCCTCTTCCAGGATTCTAAGTAGATTGACTCTCCTATGTTTTGTGTTGTTGTATTTCCTTTCAATTTCTTAGAAGGCTATTTTTGAAAATTCTAGTCCGTCTCTTCTGAGCTCATAAAGAACAGATGGAGAGTTTTATTCCTGCCAAGGCCTGTCAGAGAGGGCCAGGAGGCAGCAGCAGGCAGGAACCCCACGTGGGAGGGGGAGCTCCAGGGGAAGCAGGGAACCATGCAGCCGCCCCACTCCCTCCACACCTTCTCCCCTTTGCGCCTCTGCCTTATCTGGCCCTGGCCTTTGTAGGGTCTTGCATTTAAGGGGAGATTCTTTTCAGATGTCAAATATGCTGGTTAACGGCATTTGTTCACTCATGCAGTCTTTAATTCATTGGCCACACCTTTACTGCGAGCTTCCTAGATGCAGGCTCTGGGCTGGTCTTCAGGATAGAAATGGGAATGGGCCTAGTGCCTTCCTTCCAGGTGCGGCAGACTAGCCTCGTGTTGCGGGGTCATATGCGCTGTGAAGGAGGTGTGTGCAGCATTTCAGAAGGGCTTCCTAGGGAAAGCTACAACTAAGCTAGACCTACAGCCTGGTGGGAAAAGGCAGAAAGGCCGTGAAGCGCCTTCCAGACAGAGGGCCTGGTATGTACAACGCGTGGCTGGAGCAGCGAGTGGGAAAGAGTGGAGAGTCTCAAATGAGACTGGGGAGGCAGGCAGGGGCCAGGACGTGCAGGGCCTTGGAATCCTCCTTCAGAGAGTTTGGACTTCTTCCTGAGGACATCGTGGGATGGGCATCGGGAAGTTAGGAGCAAAGACAGGATCAGCTTTCAAGACCTGTCACACTGGAGGAGAATGGGTTAGCAGCTTGAGGCAAGGGGACAGGTTGGGAGGCTGTTGTGGTCCTCCAGATAGAGGGGTGCAAGATGGCGTAGAAGCCCACACTAGAGGGCTGGAAGGGAAAGGGGTTGGAATTATTTAGAAGGGAGGCTGGGCCAGGCACGGTGGCTCATGCCTGTAATCCCAGCACTTTGGGTGGCCAAGGTGGGAAGATCACTTGAGGTCGGGAGTTTGAGACCAGCCTGGCCAACATGGTGAAACTCTGTTTCTACTAAAAATACAAAAATTAGCCAGATGTGCTGGTGCACACCTGTAATCCCAGCTACTCAGGAGGCTGAGGCAGGAGAACTGCTGAAACCTGAGAGGTGGAGGTTGCAGTGAGCCGAGATCACACCACTGCACTCTAGCCTGGGTGACAGAGTGAGACTGTCTCAAAAAAAAAAAAAAAAAAAAAAAAAAGACTGGACCAGGGCAGAAGGCAGTGAGGACAAAGGAGAGGCTGAAATATTAAAGGACCCCAAACTAGCAAGGTTTCCAATTTTACCACTGCTCAATATCCCCAATAAAATGACAACAGTGGTTTACTCACTTGTAACAAGTCAGACAACATAGGAGCTATGGGGAAAAAGTAAGAAGCTCCGCAGTCCCCTCTCCAAGACCAGCTGCTAGGGTGATGCGGATTCGGAATATGCCTTTCACACTCAGCATTTGCACAACACACAGACACGCACATTTACAGAGTGGTTCTCTTTCTTATTTTTACAGTCACAGCCCAATACTACACCTGTTACTTTCAGGAATAGTGATGCTTCCATTCAGCATTATATCAGTAACATCTCCTTTAGATCAATACATATATCTAACGCATTCTTTTAAATAGCTGTATAATATGCCATAATATGGGTGGACTTTAAATCGTTAAATCACTCCTTTATTGGAAACTCTAATTGTTCCCAGCTACTTTTTTTTCACAACCACTACAAAGAAAGTGGTGATAGACATCCGTGTATATATGTGCATGCACACATATGTGCTTTTGTTCCTACGAATTGGTTTCCCAAACAGAGACTTCTGGGTCAAAGGGCATATGCTGCCAAAATTCCATCCAAGAGGCTGAGCAGTTCCCTCTCCATCCACCTGTGTTTGAGTCTGTTCTTTCTAAACTTACCAGTGTTGAATGTTACTATTCTTCATGCTTCAGATGTGAAAAAATTTAAGACTGGTTCCTTCTGAGGGTTTGGACTTAGGCCTCCCTGACTCTTACTGAGGCTTCCAGGTGCATGTTGCACGCTTTCTCTCAGGTGTGCATTACATGCTTTGTTTCAAGTGCGTGTTGTGTGTTTTCTCTCAGGTGTATGTTGTGAGCTTTTTCTCTCAGGTGTGCGTTGTGTGCTTTCTCTCAGGTGTGTGTTGCATGCCTTCTTTCAGGTGTGTGTTGCGCACTTCCTCTCAGGTGTGTGTTGCGCGCATTCTCCTCAGGTGTGTGTTGTGCGCATTCTCCTCAAGTGTGTGTTGTGCGCTTTCTCTCAGGTGTGTTGTGCGCATTCTCCTCAGGTGTGTGTTGTGCGCTTTCTCTCAGGTGTGCGTTGCACGCATTCTCCTCAGGTGTGTGTTGTGCACATTCTCCTCAGGTGTGTGTTGCGCACGTCCTCTCAGGTGTGTGGTGTGCGCTTCTGCTCAGATGTGTGTTGCGTACTTTCAGGTGTGCGTTGAGTGCTTTCTCTCAGGTGTGCATTGCACGCTTCCTCTCAGGTGTGTGTTGTGCGCATTCTTGTCACTTGCGTGCTGTGCACTTTCTCTCAGGTGTGTGTTGCGCGCTTTCTCTCAGATATGTGCTGTGTGCTCCCAGGTGTGTGTTGCGCGCATTCTCCTCAGGTGTGTGTTGCACACTTCCTCTCTCAGGTGTGTGTTGCGTGCTTTCTCTCAGGTGTATATTGCGCGCATTCTCCTCGGGCGTGTGTTGCGCGCATTCTCTTCGGGTGTGTGTTGCGCGCATTCTCTTTTGAGTGCCTGTGTGTGCATTGCACGCCTCTCAGGTGTAAAGAAGTGATTCTGTCACTTGCGTACACTTCTCTTCAGGTGTGTGTTGCGCGCTTCAGATATGTGCTGTGTGGGCTCCAGGTGTGTTGCGCGCATTCTCCCCAGGTGTGTGTTGCACACTTCCAGGTGTGTGTGTGTTGCGTGCTTTCCCAGGGAGCATTGCTGAGTGATTCTCCCCGGGCGTGTGTTGCGCGCATCTCTCTGGGGTGTGTACAAGGTGTGTTGCGCGCATTCTCTTCGGGTGTGTGTTGCGCGCATTCTCTTCGGGTGTGTGTTGCGCGCTTCCTCTCAGGTGTGTGTTGTGCACATTCTCCTCAGGGGTGCGTTGCGCACTTCCTCTCAGGTGTGCGTTGCGCGCTTCTGCTCAGGTGTGCGTTGCGCTTCCTCTCAGGTGTGCATTGTGTGCTTTCTCTCAGGTGTGCATTGCACACTTTCTCTCAGGTGTGTGTTGTGCACTTTCTTTTCGTTTTCTGGATGCTCCCTGTCGTATCCTCCACCCGGTTTGTAGCTGGAACCAGTTCTGTGCCATCTCCGAGAGGGAAATGGGTTCTCCTTTCAGATTGTGACCTCAGGACCCCTTTGTCACTAGTTTTGTCAGCTACTTAAGGTGCATTATCTACTTTACTACAGTCCTAGGCATGTCAGGGACATTAACTCTGTGCACAGACTTGCTTCTGTTTCAAGAGTGCCAGCCCTGCTGGGGCATCTGTTCTCCACCCTGTGCCCAAGTTGACCTGGACACCCCACTCCCTGGGCCTGCTGGTTGGTGGTGCCAGCCTTCCTAGGTGTCCCAAATGGCCCTTTCCCAAGAGCTTTGTCACAGAAGGGTTCATGGCCAGCTCAAAGTGGCCCCCATATTCAAGCAACACCTTGACTCCTGGCACCCACAGTGGGAGCCCCACTCTTCACTTCTTGAGTTGCCATGGCCCTGTGTCTGTTCCTGGGTTTTGGGGCCATTATTAAATGAGAATCCACAACAGCCACATTTGCTCAGACACACATGGGACAGTTTGCCAAATGGAGCATGAAGTGTGGGAGTCATGGAAGAAGCCTCCACCTGCCCGTCAGGGTCTCAGAGCCCCTGCCTCTCTGTTCTGCCTGACCAGTTCTTTGTATGGCTTTGCATCCGTCTCCCAGGGCCTTCCTCTTTCCAAGTGACCAGCGGATTGACGTGGAGCTCTGGGCAGAGCAAGCAGAGTTGAATTCCACTGAGCTCCACCAGATGCGCGTGCAGGACAATTGCATCTTCTCCATCAGCCCCAAGGCTGGGAGCCTGAGTCCCGGGCAGGAGCAGATGGTGGAGTTAAAATACAGGTGTTCCCCACCTCCCAAGTCCCCTGCACTTCCAGTCATAGAGACCCCTATCCCTGGCCTTTCATTGTGTGACTCCAGGGCACCCCAAATGGCCATTCCCTGGGAGGACCACCTTCTCGCCTGCAGGGGAGGTCTAGTTTCCTTCTTGCCCCATCCCAACTCAAGGGCGAGTTGCTCCCAGGGGCTGGCCAGCTCAAAGCCACAGAAATGTCATGTCCATTTGCTCTCTTTCTTGTACCAGGGCTCCAGAACTCACTCCCAGACTTTTCTTTCTAGCCACCTGTTCATCGGTACTGATCACCTCCCAGTGCTCTTCAAGGTGTCCCATGGCCGGGAGATCCTGGTGAGGCCCCAGAACCCTGGCCCTGCCCTGGTTTCAGGCTGGAGGACGGGGCTGGCTGGACAGGAGCAGGGAGCTGTGTTCTCCTGGGGAGTCCAAATCTCCGCTGGCTGTGTCAGTTTCTCCTGGGGGAACTTTTATTTCCAGCTAAATTTCATAGGTGTGACAGTGAAGCCGGAGCAGAAGTATGTGCACTTCACCTCTACTACCCACCAGTTCATTCCTGTTCCCATTGGTGACACACTACCCCCACGGCAGGTCAGTGGTCCACGTTGTCCTGTTGACCAAGAAGGCCTAGGTGTTGGTCTTTAGGTATGAATGTCAGCCCTTGAGAGAGTGACAAAGACATGGCTGTCTGGAAGCACTTGAGGGGCTGGGCCAGCAGGTTGAACCCCCAGACTGGGCAACTGGGAGAGACTTGAGGGGAGAGGCTGCAGTGTCCTGGTACCTGGTGCTAAGCCCTTTGCCAGGTCCAGTTCCAATTAAAAAATGAGGATTTTTTTTTTCCTTTAGCAAAATGTTCTTCAAACTTCTTTGACCATGAACCATACTAATATATTTGATGTTATATATGCTTATACCCCAGTATATATGTAAACATACAACCAAAGTGGAAGTATCACAAATTGATAATTATACTACTACATGCAAAGTTTACTGATATTTTCTTTTTTATTCTATTCTGTCCAGTTTTTAAAATGCTGGACATGACCCACAACATTGATTTAGATGTGCTAACCAGTAGGTCTTAGCCATAGTGTGAAAATCACTGCTCCAAAAAGGATGTCCTTCTGGAATGTGAAGATCTTGGGAACCTTTAGACCTTTCTTTCTTTACTGATTGACGGCAATACAGTTTCCTTGCTCTGGAAATGTACATTGGTCATCTCCAAGAGGGGGACATAATATTTTCCCAAACATTTCACAGCTGTGCAATTTCTAATCATTTAGAAGCCCATGTGTATCTGAGCAGGGGCCTCCAGCCATTCAGCCTAGAGGCCAAGGAATGGGCTTCCTGGATCTAGAGGGGAGTTTCCTATCCCCAACTCTGTTCACTTCTGTAGACACCCACTACCCCTCTGGCTTCCCAGCAGGAGCTGTGACAGTGAAGCTGGTTTGAGCTACTGGGAATATGTAGTGCCATTTGCTAAAAGGAGATAAACTGGGAGCAGGAATAGGCTTTAGAATGAAGAGTTTGGTTCTGGCCAAGTTTGAGATGCTAATGAGACAGCCAAGAGGGCTTGTCAGGTAGAAGGTGGACACCAAGTATCTTAGTCCATTCTGGCTGCTAAAACAAGTTACCATAGATTGGGTGGCTTATAAAGACCAGAAAATTTATTATAATTTATTGTAATTTAATTTATAATAATTTATCGTAATTAAAAAGGCTGGGAAGCCCAAGATCAAGGCATGGGCAGATCTAGTGTCTGGTGGGGGCCCACTTCCTGGTTCGGTGGCTTCTTGCTGTGAAGGGGGCAAACGAGCTTCCACAGGCCTCTTTTATTTTTTTGTTTTGTTTTTTTTTTTTGAGACGGAGTCTCGCTCTGTCGCCCAGGCTGGAGTGCAGTGGCCGGATCTCAGCTCACTGCAAGCTCCGCCTCCCGGGTTTACACCATTCTCCTGCCTCAGCCTCCCGAGTAGCTGGGACTACAGGCGCCCGCCACCTCGCCCTGCTAGTTTTTTTGTATTTTTTAGTAGAGACGGGGTTTCACCATATTAGCCAGGATGGTCTCGATCTCCTGACCTCGTGATCCGCCCGTCTCGGCCTCCCAAAGTGCTGGGATTACAGGCTTGAGCCACCGCGCCCGGCCACAGGCCTCTTTTATAAGGGCACTAATCCCACTCATGAGGGCTCTGCCCTTGTGGCCGAATCATCTCCTGATCATCTCTTAATACTACTCTATGGAGGGTTAGGTTTCAACATATGGATTTTGTGGGGACACAAGCGTTCAACCCATAGTACCAGGCCTGGAGCTCAAAGGGTGGTCCAGGCTAGAGAAATAGAGTCAGCACGTTCAGGAGTGAGTGCTCAGAAAGGGGAAAAGGGGCCAGGACTGAATCCAGATGGACTCTATTCTCTCTAGCTTCAATTTTCTCATCTCTAAAAGGAAGGATTGGACCAGAAGATATCTGGTTTCTTCTAGGACATTCTATGATTCTCAACCTTTGGAGTTGGTCTTTGGTCCCTCAGACCTTTCCGACCCCTTACTTGCCTTTAAGCAGAACTCCCTCGGTCAGGCATGGTGGCTCATCCTGTAATCCCAGCAGTGTGGGAGGCAGAGGTGGGAGGATTGCTTGAGGCCAGGAGTTCAAGACCAGCCTGACCAACATAGTGAGACCCCATCTCTAAAAAAATATATATTTTTGAAGCAGCTGTGTGTGGTGGTGCACGCCTGTGGTCCTCACTACTTGGCAGGCTGAGGTAGAAAGATTGCTTGAGCCCAGGAGGTCGAGGCGGCAGTGAGCCATGATTATGCCACTGCATTCCAGCCTGGGTGACAAAGTGAGACCTTGTCTCAAAAAAAACAAAAACAAAAACAAACAAAAAAAAACTTGATGAAGTTAAATTGAAGACAAATAAAATAAGCTGCTCCTTTACAAATAAGATTACAGATTATCCTAAAATGTCACCAGCTGAACATACAGTTAAATACTTCTTGGGTAATCAAGCCACATGAGAAATCAGAGATCTTTAGAGGAGCTCACAGACTCAAAGGGTGACATCATGGAGATCAGCCTGTGCTCCCACAGTGGGCACAGGCTCTCTGGTTTGCAGTCCTGAACTGATGTGGCAATTTTCCTATTCCTGCCCCCTGCAGATTTATGAGTTGTATAATGGTGGCTCAGTGCCTGTGACATATGAGGTCCAGACCGATGTCCTGTCACAGGTTCAGGAAAAAAATTTCGATCACCCCATCTTCTGCTGCCTCAACCCCAAAGGGGAGATCCAGCCAGGTACCACTGCACGGGTCTTGTGGATCTTCTCACCTATCGAGGCCAAGACCTACATGGTGAGCAGCAGCCTGGATGATGTGGGAGGTGGGGTGGTGCTGGCTTCCTCAGCAGGCCTCCCTCTGACCAGTCCCTACCCCAACCCTCCTAACTCCCCAGGTGGACGTGCCCATACACATTCTGGGATGGAACTCAGCCCTCATCCACTTCCAGGGAGTGGGCTACGACCCCCATATGATGGGGGACACAGCCCCATTCCACAACATCTCCTCGTGGGACAACAGTTCCATACACTCTAGGCTGGTGGTGCCTGGACAGGTGGGGAAAGGGGAACTGGGAAGGCCTGAGGCCTTGGGGAAGAGCCTCAGAGCCCAGGATGGCCAGGACAGAACAATGGGGAGGCTGGGAGGGACATGAGATGTAGTTGAGGAGGGACAGAGTCTGAGATGAGGCCTTGGAACTCACCCTCCTCCAGATTCAGGAGGTGGCACCGGCTCCATGAGAGGCCTACCCTGCCACCTAGTGCCCACAGGTGTTTCTGCTCAAGCCGCTCCACCTGCCACAGGGCCCTGCATCCCACCCTCTTATCTGGGATGAGGATGTTAAAAGATGGCACAGGAGTGGGGGTGTTGAACAGTGTCAAGAGGGCCAGGCCCAGTGGTCTTGATTTTCTGACCTCGTGGTCTGCCCGCCTTGGCCTCCTAAAGTGCTGGGCTTACAGGCATGAGCCACCGCACCTGGCCAGTTCTTATTTCTTTACCTCTACTCTCCACCCACAGAATGTCTTCCTGTCCCAGTCTCATATTTCCCTGGGAAACATCCCTGTGCAGAGCAAGTGCAGCCGCCTGCTCTTCCTCAACAACATCTCCAACAACGAGGAAATTGCCTTCTCCTGGCAGCCAAGTCCTCTAGATTTTGGGGAGGTGAGAGCCCCCTGAGCCCTTGAACCTCCATCAGAACTCTGGACACATGCAACCCCACCTGACCCCATCCCATCCCACCCCACTCCATCCCATCCCATCCCATCCCACCCTATCGCACCCCACTCCATCCCATCCCATCCCATCCCATCCCACCCCACTCCATCCCACCTCATCCCACCCCACTCCATCCCACCTCATCCCACCCCACTCCATCCCATCCCATCCTATCCCACTCCACTCCATCCCACCTCATCCCACCCCACTCCATCCCATCCCATCCCACTCCACTCCATCCCATCCCATCCCACTCCACCCACTCCATCCCACTCCATCCCACCCCACCCCCACTCCACTCCATCCCACCTCATCCCACCCCACCTCCATCCACACCATCCACCCCCACTCCATCCCATCCCATCCCATCCCCCACTCCACTCCATCCCACTCCATCCCACCCTGACCACTCCACTCCATCCCCACCTCATCCCACCCCAACCATCCCACCTCATCCCACCCCACACCACTCCATCCCATCCTATCCCACCCCACTCCATCCTATCCCACCCCACTCCATCCCACCTCATCCCACACCACACCATCCCATCCCATCCCACTCCACTCCATCCCACTCCATCCCACCCCACCCCACTCCACTCCATCCCACCCCATCCCACCCCACTCCATCCCACCTCATCCCACACCACACCATCATCCCATCCTGATCCAACCCATCCCACCCCACTCCATCCTACTACATCCCACCTCATTCCATCCCATCCCATCCCACCCCATCCCATCCCACTCCATCCCACCCAATTCCATCTCATCCCATCCCTTTCCATCTTGTCCCATCCCATCCCATCTTGTCCCATCTCATCTTACCCTGTCCCATCTCATCCCATCCTATTCCATGCCATCCTATCCAATTGCAACCCTGTGAATCTCCAGAGACTCCTTCCCCAAATCAACAGGTGTCCGTGAGTCCCATGATAGGGGTGGTGGCTCCTGAAGAGACAGTCCCATTTGTGGTGACCTTGAGGGCCTCTGTACATGCCAGCTTCTACAGTGTAGACCTGATTTGCAAGGTAGGAATCAGCCCCAGGGGTAAGGTGGGATGGAGGCATGGCTCCCAATGCTGGGGTGGGGTGAGATGGGCTGTGAGATCCCCAGACCCCAGCAAAAGGCGGAAGTCAGCCCTTGGAAGGGAGAGGGCCTACAGCAAAGGCCCAGGGCAAGCTCCAGACCTTGGCCTTCTCTCTCTCTGTCCTGGGCCATAGCTGTACCCACAGCAGCTCATGAGGCAGTATCACGAGGAGCTGCAGGAGTGGAAGGATGAGAAGGTGCGGCAGGAAGTGGAGTTTACCATCACCGACAGGAAAGTGAAGGTGAGAAGGGCTGAGTAGATCTCAAACACCCAGATCTTTCTGACTGGCCTTACCAGAGGGGACAGAGGTAGTGGGCCAAGGTGGCCTTCTAGGCCAAACCAGCCAGCCTTCCCTAAGAGATTAGATTCCATTCACTAGACTCAGCTTAGCATCTCCACAGCCACCCGGAGAGGCTCTCTGGATAGAGAAGGCTGGCTGTCCATTCCCTGCCTCATGTAGCCAGCATTTAATGAGTGGCTACTGTGTGCTGCACACTGGGGATTTAGGGGAGACAAGCAGAGCTCACCTTCTTTTTTTCTTTTGAGACAGAGTCTCACTCTGTCACCCAGGCTAGAGTGCAGTGGCTCACTGCAACCTCCACCTCCCAGGTTCAAGCAATTTTCCTGCCTCAGCCTCCCGAGTAGCTGGGACTACAGGCGCCCACCACTAGACCCGACTAATTTTTGTATTTTTAATAGAGATGGGGTTTCACCATGTTGGCCAGGCTGGTCTCGAACTCCTGACCTTAGGTGATCTGACCACCTCGGCCTCCCAAAGTGCTGAGATTACAGGCATGAGCCACTGTGTCCAGCCTAGAGTTCACCTTCTGATGGAAGACACTGTGGCTTCAAGGGCAGGCTCTGGAAACAGATTGCCCAGGTTTCATTCCTGGAGTTAATGATTTCTAGCTTTGTGATCTCAGCCAACCTATGTAATGTCTCAGTACCTTCAGCTGTAAGAAGTAGGGGTGGGTACTATTACATCTGGGATTTGCTTCAGTATAATCCAGAGGTGGGGCACAGCTCGGACCAGACTGGCTATGAGGTGCTAGTTGTTGAAGCTGGGCAATGGGCAACGGAGAGTTCTTTGTAGCATCCCCTCCACTTTTGTATACATTTGAAATTTTCCATACTAAAAAGGTTAAAGATAAAAGCCTAGGCTGGACGTGGTGGCTCACACCTGTAATCCCAGCACTTTGGGAGGCCAAAGCAAGTAGATCACTTGAGGTCAGGAGTTCGAGACTAGCCTGACCAACATGGTGAAACCCTGTCTCTACTAAAGATACAAAAATTAGCTGGCAGTGGTGGCAGTTTCCTGTAATCCCAGCTGTTTGGGAGGCTGAGGCACAAGAATCGCTTGAATCCGGGAGGCAGAGGTTGCAGTGAGCAGAGATCATACCACTGCACTCCAGCCTGGGAGACAGAGTGAGACTCTGTCTCAAAAAAAAAGATAAAAGTCTAAAAATATTTTTTAATGTGAGTGAGATATCTGGTTTGTAACATTGTTGTGAGGATTAAATAATTTAATACCAGTAAAGTGCCTAGAACAGTGCCTGGCACCCAGGAAGTGCTTACTGAATGGGAGCTATTAGTATGTGTTTTGGGAGGGGGAGGGTCCGACAATAAACACAAGACAGCACTTCATCTTGGTTCCTCCCCTAATTTCACAACCTTTCTTGAATGACCTCTTTCAAGAATGACCTCTGGTATTCTTGCTCCTCGGTCACCTTGGTGTCTGCCACACAGAACCCACAGGGAGTCACTGCTCCCCTCTGAAGCTGTGGCCCCACTGTGGATACGAATTACTTCCTAAGGCCAGGCGCCGTGGCTCACACCTGTAATCCTAGTGCCTTGGGTGGCCAAGGCATGAGGATTGCTTGAGCCTAGGAGATCAAGACCAGCCTTGGACAACATAGTGAGACCCTGCATCTACAGAAATACATTTTTAAAAATTAGCTGGTGTGGTGGCTCACACCTGTAGTCCCAGCTACCTGGGAGGCTGAGTTGGGAGAATCTCTTGAGTGCAGGAGTTCGAGGCTGCAGTGAGCTATGATGGGGCCACTGAGCTCCAACCTGGGTGACAGAGTGAGACCCTGTCTTTAAAAAAAAAACAAAAAAAACCAAAAACTCTCCTTGGGGGCATGAGAGAAGGAATTTCTGAATTAAATCTTAATGAAGGAGACTGATTTCTCATCTCAGCGAACCACAGAGCTCCAGGGCACCAGGGCAAGCACCCTTGGAGCTGCCCACCTACATTTGATGGCATTTACTTCACTCAGGAAACCGGAATTTCCTGGTCTGCAGGCAGCACTTCTCTAGGGAAGGTTCTAGAGGAAAATGTGACAGGCAATTGGGCAGGACCAAGAGGGCAGCGAGAGGATCAAAGTGGGGGAGTCTCTTTAGGCCTCTCACATCTTCTTCTTTTTTTTTTTTTTTTTCCTGAGACAGAGTCTCGTTGTGTCGCCCAGGCTGGAGTGCAGTGGCGCCATCTTGTCTCACTGCAGCCTCCGCCTCCCAGGTTCAAGCGATTCTCCAGCCTCAGCCTCCTGAGTAGCTGAGACTACGGGCACGTGCCACTGCATCTGGCTAATTTTTGTATTTTTAGTAGAGACGGTCTTTCGCCATGTTGGCCAGGCGGGTCTGGAACTTCTGACCTCAGGTGATCTGACCGCCTTGGCCTCCCAAAGTGCTGGAATTACAGGCATGAGGCACTGCCTCCGGCTAGGCCTCTCGCATCTTAAGCAAGGATCTCTCTTCTTCCACAGAAGAGAACATGCTGCACAGCCTGTGAACCTGTGAGGAAGTACAAGGTGAGGCAGCGAGCCCCAGGCCCATCTTCTTGGAACAACTTGGGAGGGTCCTTGCTTTCTCCCAGAGAGACCTCCAACCCCTGGACCAGCCTCCCAGAAAGGAGGGATGAAAGTGCCAATGAGTGGGGCCACACGCTTATGTGATGGGGAACTAGGTCAAGGACCCCATTGGTGATGTGAGTACAGTGCCCAAACCCTTGTCATCCATGTCCCTCCCTTCCCAAAGACGCTGCCTCCCATCAAGAACCAGCAGTCTGTCAGCCGGCCTGCCAGCTGGAAACTGCAGACCCCAAAGGAGGAGATGTCCTGGCCCTGCCCCCAGCCACCCTCTCCAGGCATGCTCTGCCTGGGCCTTACCGCCCGAGCTCATTCCACCGACTACTTTCTGGCTAACTTCTTCTCAGAGTTTCCCTGCCACTTTTTGCACCGGTAAGCTCATGGAAAGGCAGCAGTCACCTTCCTCTTCTCTCTGTCTCCTCTTCCACTCCAGAGCAGGGGCTGCCCAGACCCAACCCATGGTGAGGGGTGGAGCATGGGCAGTGGCAGTGGGACTCATTGAGTGCCTCTGGGCCCAGGATGCCCCATTACCACTTAGGCCCTTTTGAAAGGGGGATGAAACAGCCAGAGCACCCTGGAGAACACACCTAGGCACCCCCTGCCCCTCTTTGTTCCTTCTTTTTCCAACTGGGAGTCTCTCTACTTCCTGTGCTACTCTGAGGGTTTGAGCTTGGTTCTCTGAGCCCAGTAGCACTACATTTGGATTAAGGCTGGGAGTGCCTCAAACTCATCTGTGTCCTCATCACTGGGCAACTACCACCACAGCTTGTGCCCCCAACCCCAACATGGTGGCTTGCCCAGGCCACTCAGAATGTCATGGCTGCCACAGGGAGCTGCCAAAGAGGAAGGCCCCCAGGGAAGAGTCAGAGACTTCCGAGGGGAAATCCCCTAACAAGTGGGGCCCTGTCTCCAAGCAGAAGAAGCAGCTCCTGGTTGACATTCTCACCACCATCATCAGGTACCAGCTTACACTCTGGGCCCTCACTGCCACTTTCTCATCCCTTCAGCTCATTCAGCCAGAGCCCCTTACATTCCAGCACTCTTCCTTTCTTGAGAAATAGAACTTGGTGGGGCACGGAGGTTCTTGCCTGTAATTCCAACACTTTGGGAGGCAGAAGTGGGAGGATGGCTTGAGCCCAGGAGTTTGAGACCAGCCTGGGCAACATAGCAAGACCCCATCTCTACAAAAAATACAAAAATTAGCTGGACATGGTGGTGCATGCCTGTAGTCCCAGCTACTTGGGAGGCTGAAGTGCGAGGATAGCTTGAGACCATTAATTAGCTTAATTAACTGGGATGTTGAGGCTGCAGTGAGCCATGATCACACCACTCTACTCCAGCCTGGGAGACAGCAAGACCTTGTGTCAAAAAAAGAAAAGAAAAGAAAAACAAAGAAAGACAGAGAGAAAGAAAAGAGAGAGAGAAAGAGAGAAAGAGAGAAGGAGAGAAAGAGAAAGAGAGAAAAAAAGAGAGAGAGAAGAAAAAAAGAAACAGAACTTCTTTGCAAGATCCTGCCACTGTCCCCCCGACCCACCCACCTCAGGACAGTGGGGCTCTGATGGAGCTGGCTGGAGGGATTCTCAGATCTGGGTTCTGAGTTCTGCCCCTTTCCAGGGTTGGCAGATGAGTCTGGAGCCAGTTCACTGTCTCCCCAGGGTTCCTGCCCAGTATGTGTATGAATCTGACCTGCCCTGCCTCCACCATACTATGCTTGCTTCTAAAAGTTCATGAGGCTCAAAGATGTCTTCCTTGAAAGAAGGGACAGGAGGAACAACTGACCAAGGGTTCCCCTCTCCCCACCTAGCAGCCCCTTTCCCACCTAGCACCTAGCTCTTAAGCCAGGCCTCCCCAGGGGCTTCAGGGCCCCTCAGCAAGGGCCTTCTCCTTCTCCTTGCCACCTAGGGGCCTGCTGGAAGACAAGAACTTCCATGAGGCTGTGGACCAAAGCCTGGTGGAGCAGGTGCCGTACTTCTGCCAGTTCTGGAATGAGCCATCAGCTAAGTTCAGGGACCAGAAAAACAGCCTGTACTTAATGCCAATCCTGCCTCTACCCTCCAGCAGCTGGGAGGATGGGAAGGGCAAGCAGCCGAAGGAAGACAGACCAGAGCACGATCCAGGGTTGGGGAAGAAAGAAGAAGGGGAGGAGGAGGAGAAGGGTGAAGAGGAAGAAGAGGAGTTGGAGGAGGAAGAGGAGGAAGAAGAGGAGACAGAAGAGGAGGAGGAGTTGGGCAAGGAAGAGATAGAGAAGGAGGAGGAGAGGGATGAGAAGGAAGAGAAAGTGAGCTGGGCAGGGATTAGGCCCACACCACAGCCTGAGTCCCAGGAGTCCATTCGATGGCAGTGGCAACAGCAGCTGAAAGTCATGGTGAAGGAGGAGCAAGAACAGGACGAGAAGGAGGCCATCAGAAGGTGAGCAGCCAGGCCCCAGTGAGGATGGGAGGAGGCGAAGTGCAGAAGGCTCCTAGAAGGCAATGGGATGCCAAGGACAGCCGCTGCCTGTATGCACATTTCATCCTCACTCAGTGCTTAGTGAGGTTATGTTGGTAGCTTAAGGCCTCTGCGGGAGTATCAGCTGAGCACCAACACTGAACTTCATTCTTTTTTCTCTGAGAACTGGTTGTTGACATTTACCAAGGCATGACTACCAGGAGAATTGTTATAGTCTGCAAAGTCTTGTAAATGGGCTTCTAGAGCCAGAAAAGGACCACCTGTCTTGCAGGTGGGACTTCCCACTGGGGCTGCCCTACAGATGATTTATGTCCTTGTAGGGATTCCCTAGGCCCCACCCAGTCCCTTCTGTGCCCTCTCATCACTTCCCTACCTTTCTCCAAACTTGACCCTGAGATGCCTACTACATTGCCTGGGTTTGAATCCCACCCCTTAAACTAGCAGCATATTTGGCAACTTGGAATCTTTTAGCCACACTTGGAACGTCTGTAACATTGAAACAAGGATGGCCCATACTGTAGTGGATGAAGGGAGTCTAATGGGAATCTCCGTAGAGCTCGCAGCGCACTGTACCGCACGGACAGGCGAGCGAGGAGGCGCGCGGTCACTGCGGCCACGCTCATGCCAGCCCCCGCCCCGTCGCAGGCTCCCGGCCTTCACCAACCTGCAGGAGGCGCTGCTGGAGAACATGATCCAGAACATCCTGGTGGAAGCGAGCCGCGGGGAGGTGGTGCTCACCTCGCGGCCACGCGTCATCGCCCTGCCACCGCTCTGTGTGCCCAGGTAGGGGCGCCGGGGCCAGCGGCCGTGCAGACCGCGCCGGAGGGGCGAGGGGGGCAGGCAGGCTCTGCCCTAAGCCTTGTCCCCACCCCTACTTGGGACTTTTTGTCTTCCAGGATTCTGACCCCGGACACGCTGCTGCCGACGCAGCAAGCAGAGGTACTCCACCCGGTGATGCCACTTCCTACCGACCTTCTGTAGATGCCCGCGCCCAGCCTCTCCGACATGCCGCCCTAGGTCATGCCTGGCCCCCTCTCCGCCACCCCGCCAGTAAAAGCATCTAGTCTTTTTTCTATATCTACCTTGACTTTATTTCCCCGACGAGGGGGAAACGTGCGCGCACGCTCTGAGAGGGAAGGATGGCAGGGAGCAGCCTGGGCTGACTGCAGAGGTGCGGCGGGAACTTAGGGCCCGGGAGGTTGCACTCGCTGCCCGCACTGCAGCTGGACTGAGACCTTGCCGCTAGCTGCCGGCCGCTGGACCGGGTCTGGCCAGTGGAGGGCGCTCCGGGCGGGGCCTGGCTGGCCTTTGCCCCAGCGTAGCTTGGTGCACAGTAACTGAGTGCCAGGCCTGGCCAGCGAAGCAGGTGTCCACGGGGCAGGGCCACCCCTCACGGTTCCGCGCCGCGCCTGCTCTGAGGCTCGGCACCCCCAGGGCCAACCCCTTAGCATTTGGCGAGCTCCAAGAGCCCAAGAGGCTGGGGAGGAAGGAGAACTGAGGCACGCCGCGGAGGGCCAGGAATTAGGCTGGGGCGGGTCGAGGTCACCACTGGATTTCGGGCCACAGACCCTGCTAAGCGACTCCCACTGTGAATCAGTCCTCAGACGAGGATGGATACCCACCTCTCGGTTCCTCCTAACCCCCGCCTGGGAGCTTCTGTCCTCTGCTTCTCGGCTCCTCCCTCCCAGAGGCAGGTGGGTGGAAAAGTGACATCTGGTGTTGTTCCAGAGGCGCCCAGGTCCCCAGCACCCTCCCCTCCGCCCCCGCCACCAAGGCCTCGGAGAAGCTCCGGTCTCAGAGCCGGAGCGGGGGAGGGACGGGGGGGCTCCGCCTCCATGAGTCAATATTTGCCCCGAGCAAACGGGCGCCTGGACAGGTGTGAGTGTGTGTGTCTGGGGGCGGGGACTGAACAGGCAGTATAAGAGCACACTGAGCCCGGGCTCCGGGACAAGCTCCAAGGCGTGGGCTGGGGATGAAGCCAAGCTAGGCTGGGCCGGGCAGAGGGGCCAGGAAAGCCAGGCGGAGGATGGCTGGGAAGGGAGGGGCGGGCCAGGTGCGCACCTGCGGTGGCCTCCGCGGCCGCCGACGTGTCAGCCGCAGATGCGCTCAGGTGAGGGCGGAGGCTAGCGGGGCGCTGTGCAGCACTGCGCTCGCGGAAGACCAGGACCAGGAGATCACCGAGGGCGACCGCCAGGCCCCGGGCCCTCCGCTCCCGCCCCGCGACGAGCCCCTCGCACAAACCGGACCTGAGCGTTTTGTTCGTTCGGCTCGCGTGAGGCAGGGGCGGCCTCTCAGCACCAGCCCGGGGGCCCGGCCTGATCGCCACGCAGGCACCTGCCGCCGCCACCGCCACCGCCATCGCCACCATACGGGTGGGAGAGGCTGTGCGCCGCTCAAGTGGAGATCCGGCTCCCATCCGGCCCCACCCGCCCTGCCTTGCCCTGCCCGCAGCTTCTGGGCTGCCAGGCTCCATTCTGCGTCGTAATACGGGCTGAGCCGGCTCCAGCGGTTGGCGAAGGGGGCCGTGGCCCAGAACAGAAACCCTTCTGGAGGTGGAAACCCGGATTCTAGTCCGCCTCTGTCCCCGCGACTTCTGTGGCCTTGGGCAAGTCATTTCCCGGCCTCTTGGTTTTCCCATTTGCTCAGTGAACGGTTGGTCTGGCCTCCCGCAAGGGCTAGGGCTTCCCCAGCCTCCTGTCCAGGTTCTTGGGCTCCTGGCCATGCTGGGGAAGATGGAGGCCCTCACGGAGTTGGAGCCAAGGCTGATGTGTGGAAAATCTGGGCGGGGGAAGCTGAGGGCCTCCATGGAACCTCAAATCCACTCCTAGGATCTCTTTGGCGCTGCTGACATCCTGAGATGTCACTCCCTGACACCTCCTTGGTCCCTCTTTCAGTCTAACCACGTCTGTGACAGTCAGACTGACTGAAAAGGACAAGCCCCCAGGCACAGCCGTTCACCACCTTCCTCAAACCTCAGAATCCCACGTCCTTGCTTCCATCAGCTGGGGTGGGGTAGGTAGGCAGCCCTCAGCTCAGGCAGAGGCAGCCCCGGGAGATGGGTCAGAAGTCCCTCCAAATTGCATGTTCGTAGAGGTGCTGGCTTGTCCCCTCCACCACCACCGGCTCTAGTGCCCCTATGTCACCCAACTACCCAGAGGCCCCAAAGGATCTGCTGAGCCCGAGACCGTGGCACAGAGAGAGGAGGGGGAGGGGGCGAGATGGTGTTGGACAGATCCCAGGCAGATCTGAGGAGAGGGTGGACTACAGGAGGGCTCTTCATGGAGCAGCCCCAGGGGCGGGGGAAGGTCCTTGGGTCCTGGGCTAGGGTGTGTGCAGCCCTCTCCTGGCCCCCCTGACCTGGCTCTGTCCTGGGCCAGCCCTTTGCTCTTTGCCTGGCATTGGAAGATTTGCCTCTCAGGGGCCTGGCATGGTCCCAGCGCACCTTCCCTGTGTCTTCCAGGGCTTCCTCTTCCCTCCCCAACCATGGCAGGGGCCAGGATTCCACATCCTGGGTCTGCACAACAAAGAGGTCTCCTCCTGGAACGACCCCCTCCCAAACACACACACGCACACACACACACGCACACACACACACGCACACACACGCGCGCGCGCACACACACACACACACACACACACACACACACACACACACACACGGCCTTGAGGGGAAGGTGGTGAGAAGGAGGCTGCCACCCATTGGGCTGGGATCTTTCCTGGCGACTGAGAATTACTACCCCTTCACCCCGGGGCCTAATTTCCCCAGCCCCCCGCCCCGCATCCATCCCTAAGACTGCGTTTGCTGGCCATTACCAGGGATCTGGCCTCTCATCCAGGTCCCTCCTCAGCTGCCAGGCTGGGGGCGGAGTCTCCCAGTGCTGGGCAGGCCTGCAGGTGCGGGGCTGCATGGGGAGGGGGGCACTCAGCAGCTGGTGTGCGAGGCAGGCCCCCTCCCCCTCCTGCTCAAAGCTAGGGCCTGCTTCCTGTCGTCCCTGTCAGCACCCTGGGTGGGGGAGGGACCAGGTAGTGGGGGAAGTGGAAAAGGAACTGAGCAGTTGGAGTGCAGCAGCTGAGAAACAGCAGAAGAGAAATGGAGAAGGATGAGAAAGAGACCAAGAGCATAGACAGAAGGACAGAGGGGTGTGAGAACACAGGGGAGATCACAGGGGCCGTAGAGGCTGCAGATCCCAGACTGTGAGAGCAAGACCAGAGACAGAGACGACCAGAGAGAAACCAGGGAAGAGGAACAGAGAGAGACACATGGAGACAATTCAAGATAACAAGAGATATACACTGAGAGGGATGGGGGATGTGGAGACATGGGGTTAGGGCTCAGGGGACCAGAGGCAGGAGGCACTGTGTGTATGGAGAAAGGGGGAAGCTGCGAAACAGCCCCATCCCACCCCAAACTGGGGTGGGAATTAGCCCCAGCAGAGGATAAACGGGTGATTTCTAGGTGGGAGCCAGGTTTGGAAGTTGGGGGGAGGGTGATACCCTTATCTTGGAAGCCCATCTCCTCCCAATAAAGGACAGAACGTGAGGGAGGGGCAAGGCCCAGGCTGTGGCTGGACACCGGGGGCCAGTGAGGGGCACAGATCTGACTCCATCTCTCTCAGTTTCCCTCTTGGCCACAGATGGACAAGCCAACAGCTATAGCAGCTGCTCTGCCCCCACCCGCCCCAATGATTCTGGCCTAGCCTTGGAATTTCTGGGCTTAGAGGCTGCCTAGGGTCTGTGTGAGAGTGGGGGGACCCGGGAGTGGAGGCACTGGGTGGCAGGGGGGAGACTCATACCCAGGTGCTAATCCCCATCCGGCCAAGGCAGTACCAGAGCCTCACTGACCTTCTTGGAGATTAGTCCCCATGGAGACCATGGCAACTCGCCCCCTCATTCTGGCTAGGCCAGGCGGGTAGGTGGGTGGGGCAGGCAGAGGCTGGATAGGGAGGGGAAGGAAACTTCCAGAGGCATCACAGGAGTCAAGGCTGGGAGGCCCCTCCAGGACCCACAGCCAGATTCGTTTACAGGTAAAAAACAGAGGCCTCAAGAGAGGAGTGACTGACCAAACGCCCCAAATGGCGCCAGGACAAGCACTGACACCAGAAGACAGGTCCTCGGCTTGGTTCCCAAGCATTTTTTCCTAGACAGCAGAGGCCTGAGCAAGAACAAAGGAAATTGGCACCCTGCCCTCTGACCCTCCCAATCTTCCCAAACTGAGGTCATGAACTAAGGAGTGGTTCAAATACGGTGAGGCAGGAAGGTGCTCCATCCTGAGCACTAGGCTGGCTTCTGCCAGGGACCAGGGTGAGAAGGAGAGTACGGCTCTCAGAGCCATACTTGCAGCCTGACCACTCCCCCAGCTTGGCCAGCCCCAGGGGTGATGGGAAGCACATGCATCAGAGCCAGTTATAACCACAACCACAGCAGCAGCAGTGGCGGACATTCATTGAGTGGACATTGCAGGCCAGTTCTGTTTTACATGCATTTAAATCATCACAACAGCCTCTTAACCCACTCTCTTCACCCTTCAGTGTCTGTATGACCCTGGGTGGGTGGCTGAGCTGATGCCTCCCTGGGTGACCGTGGAGTGGGTATGTGCACGTGTGAAAGTGATGGGGCATATTCGTGTGTGAGTCCAGTACCCAGCACAGCCCATGGCACATAGTACATCGTATTAAATCTTTGAGGAATAAGTCTGCCCATGCATGAATATGACATTGAGGTTTCTATTGAATCCTAGAACGAGACTATTTGCATGCGAAGCTTGTGGCATCACATCTATGTGCCTGGAACTGTGGATGACTCTGTCTCCATCTGACTGAACATGTGTCTGTGTGTGCCCTCTCCCTGTCACCCTGTGCCAGCCCTGTGGCTTTGTGTCCAGGTGTGTGAGCGACGGTGAAAGCTGCCTGCTAGCTCCCTGGATGGTGGCCAGTTCTCTAACCCCACTGAGAGGCAGAGGAGAGGGGCTCTGTTTCTAGTGGGACAGAACAATGACTCTGTGGGGGTGGGGCTCCTAAATGGCCTAAACTAGACTGGTCTCTGTACCCGTTATCTCTGTCTCCCAGGAGACCAGTCCTGCACAGCCTCAGGGAAGGTGCTCATCTGCTGGTTCTGGGCTCCAGACTGGGGGTGGGGGCGGGGGCCAGAGAAGCAGGGGTGGAAAGGAGGAGCTGGTGATGGTAGCAGGGTGGGGGAAGGCACCCTTCCCTGAATTTGCATCTTCAGTACCCAAACCCTGGATGATTTCCCAGTAAAATGAAGGGGGAGGGCTGGGAGGCGACCGGCTGGAGGAGAGGACATGAGCCACCAGCCCCTCTCCGCTGCCCAGCAGTACTGAGCAGTCAGGCTGTTCCTGGGTTGGGGCTCTAGATGAGAGAGGTGCCACTTCTTAGGGATTCTCAGGGCCTTTGTTGAGGATGGAGATCTGGGCAGGAGCTTAGGAGTGGGTTTGAGGCTTCCTTGCAGGATCTATGTGTCCCCACATGGGATGTGGGTCTGGGTGGGATCTGAGGGCCTCATGGAGGGGACTCAGGCTCAAAGGATTATCTGTGGGATCTTATGGGTCTGTATGGGATGTGGGTTTCGGTGAAATCAGAGGGCAGGAGATGGTGGCTAGGGGTGGGGTGAGGGCCTGAGGATTTCCCTGTGGGGCCCAGAAGTCCCAGTGTGAGATGGAGAACTGAATGAGGCCAGGGAGGGGGTGTCTGAGGGTGATAAGATCTCTGCGAGATTTTGAGGGCTCTGTGACGTGTCGACTGGGGTTGCTGTTTTTTTGTCTATGTAACTCCTGTTCCATGCCCCAAGGCCAGCCTGTGGATGTGGAGGGGGTAGGGGTGACTGTACTGAGCTGGCAAACAAAGCCACCTGGGCACCCATCCTTCAGGAAGCTCTGGGCGCAACTGATCTGGGAAAACAAACAGGAACAGCTGTTAGGGGTGGGGGGGCACGGCAGCTGGGGAGAGGGGCAGAGCTGGACCAGCCTGGTGGGGAAAGGAGGAGACGGGGAGGGGGTCCGTGGTACCCAAGGGGTATCGATCCCAGAGTCCTCCGCTGGCACAGTAGGCAGGGCTGCCTGGAAGCCCCTTCCCCTCAGTGGTTGTTCTCTTTGGCAATGACTGTGAGGCCCAAAGTCAGGAGGGGCCTGAGGATGTTGGGGAACCCTGAGATGTTTAGAGGTCTTCTGGGCCAGTGACTATGGGTGGTGTTGGTAGGCATACCCGTTTCTGAGAGAGCTGGTCGCAGTTACTAGAACTAAAAGCCATGGGTGAAGGGGTGAGAAGGTGGGGGTACCTCCATACCATTTCCGAGAGGAGGGAAGAGGTAGAGAAGGGAAAAGGCTGGCTGCCGCCAAGACCAGAGCTTCACACTGGAGGAGGAGGAGGAGGGGCCCTTCTCACACATGGGGTCCCCTCCCCAACTCCAAGCGGGACTCTTAATTCTAACCTGGATCTCGGCTGGACGACCTCCCCACTTTTCCTCCTCCCCTAACCCTGGAAAAGGCGCGACGCACCCCTCCCGCAGAATGCCGCCGTCGGACCCACATGTGGAACCCGGCCCTCGGGAGTACGCCCAGCCCCTAGCCCCGGTCGGTGCACAGTGTCCAGTCTCCGACAGACACCCCCACACCCTCTGACCAATACTTGACGCCCGCGTCGGGGACAGCGCAGACGCACAGCCTGACGCACTAGCCACCCGCGCCCGCGGTCCTGGCCGACCTGGACCTTCCCTTCCACCCCGCCCTCCGCGCCAGCTTTCGGGCCAGCGCGGCCTGCTCGCGCCCTCTGGTGGCCGAATCCAGAATTGTCGGATAGAGGTGGGGGAAGGAGGGAAGGAGAGATCTGATTCTTCACCCCTCACCGCTGCCCCGGCTGGTGACACTGAAGGCAAAGACTGGGACACCAAGGGTCCAGAACTGGCTCGTGCGCACTCTGTAGTTTGTATTCCCTCCTTGCGATTTGTATTTGTTCAAACCCCAGCTAGGGTAGGGAATCAGGACGCGGTTCTGACCTCACCCCCAATCAAACCTGCTTGAGATTGTCCCATCTCTGACCCATATCCTCCTCACTCGGACTCTACCTCCATGCCCAGTTCTAGGGCCCTGTACTCTTGGCACCCATCTTCACACACACTGCGAGCTCCAACAGTAACTCCTCCAGGGAAAAGAGAGGCCCAAGGGAGCCTTTGGCCCCAGGGCCCACTCTCAGCAACCCAGAACTTCAAGGGTGGGAGAGCAAGCCACCACCCCCCCACTTCCACTGGAGAATTTTCTCTACACCCATTTTCCGTGGACATTTTGCCCACGCCTGACCACCTTGTTCACTCACTTGTTCAAGAAGTTTTATTGAGTGCCTACTATGCATCCAGCACTGTGCTAAGTTTGAGGATAACAACTGAGAACAAGACACAGTCCCTGCTCCTTTAAATGGAGCTTACACTCTGGTAAGGCAGATGCTGGTACACCCATAAACATAAGATGAAAAAGATTACTTTACAGCACGATAAATGCTACAAAGAAAAAAGGCTGATGTGATGGACGGAAGGGTGCCTGGAACAGCATCACCAAGGAGGTGACACAGGAGCCAGCTATGCCACCATCTTGTGACCAAGACACTTCAGGTAGCAAACAGCAAATACAAAGGCTCTGAGATGGGCTGAGCATGGAACACTGGGAAGAAGGCTTAGAAGGCAGGCTGGTATGGCAAGGCTTCTGGGAGCTGGGGCGGCTACAGCTGGCCTGTGAGCACTTTTTGGCACAGGAGCTCCGATGGACAGTGGTGGAGCACAGGTTTTGGCTTCCAAAGGTCTGAGCTCGATTCTTGCTCTGAAACTGGCTAGCCATATGAGTTTGGACAAGGTTCTGCACCTCTTTGACCCTCCGTTTTCATATCGGTGCAGGCAAACCTAACTCACTGGACTGTCCTGAGGACCCATAAGGGAAGCATGTGACTCGTGGGAGCAACAAAATATTAGCTCCCTTCTCACTAGCCCCTCTTACCTCTGCTGGAATATGCCCACCCACACCCACCACCATTAAGGAAAACTTACAATTTTGCAAGCCTTTGTGTCTCATTAACAGCTGCTGTGGTTAGAAAATTCCACTGCAAGTGGTGAGAAAATTTCCTACCTGGAGCTACCCCTTGGGGCTCCTAACCTTTTTGGGGCTCCCAACCTTTTCCTCTTCCTCCTCTCCCTCCCCCTTTCTCTACCCCCACCCCCCCCCCCCCCCCCCACCGCTGCCTTTCCCCAGCTTACTCTGTCGCCCAGGCTGGAGTGCAATGGCTTGATTTCGCCTCACTCACTGCAACCTCCACCTCCGGGGCTCAAGCAATTCTCCCATCCCAATTCTCCGGGGCTCAAGCAAAGGCTCCCAAGTAGCTGGGACTACAAGGCGCATGCCAACACGACCGGCTAATTTTTGTTTGTTTTTGTAGAGACGGGGTTTCACTGTGTGGCCCAGGCTGGTCTCAAATTCCTAGGTTCAAGAGATCCTCCCACCTGGGTCTTCCAAAGTGCTGGGATCACAGGCGTGAGCCACTGCGCCGGCCCTGCAAGATTTCTTAGCTGTGACCGCTCCACCACATTCCAAAGCCCTCTGGGTCTCCACTTCTACATCTGGGAAATGCAGGACAACAACAACATCTTCCTCACAGGTCAGTTTTAGAATTGATGGAGGTCACGCACCCCAAAGCCTGAACAGAGAGCTCCGCCTGAACTAAGCGCTTCATCCCCAGCTGCTAACTCTCAGGCAGACGTTGGGGGCCGGAATCCTTAGAGCCTGGAACTTTGTGGGAGACCCCAAGCGGCACGGGTTGGGCCGAGCTGAGGCCCAGCATTCTTCCTGCCTCCCGCGGCAAGCCACTCCCTGGGTGGCTATTATGCCTAAACTCTGAGTAAACCATGCGGCCCTCGGGCGGTCGTTTCCAGCGCCCGGCGCCGCCGCGTGGCGGGTCCTGATCACCTCCTCCTCTCCTTCCCGGACCCGAGGACACCCCGAGGACGCGTCGCAGGATCTGGGAACGCACACTTGGGAGGAAAGGGGCCGCGGTGGACCGATCCTCCAGGAAAAAGAGGACTGAGCACGTGAAGCGAATCCTTTGGGCAGAGCCTTCTCTACCTCCGCCCTAGCATCGCCCAAAAGAGAGGCCTGGACTAGGGCCGAGGAAGGCTGGCGATTAGACTCTGGGAAGAACTTCCGCTCCGCGAGTCAGCAGCGCGGTCTTAGCCCGAAGCCCCGGGGAGGTCAGGTCCCTTCGTCCCGAGGGCCGGGCCAGGGAGGGCGAGTTCTGCCCCGAGGCCTGGCACGCCCTGCCTGGCTCAGGCTGGAAAGAAAGAAAGCGCCGAGTCAGCCTGGGCTGCGGCGGGCGCGGGGTGCGCGCCTCAGCACTTTCTGTTGTCTTCCCCGGTGGCTGGGGCCACAGCGGCGGCTGCGGGAGAGGCCTCGGCTCCCCAGTGGAGACCAGAGCCGACCGCAGCCTGCCTGCTGACTCAGCTCCCCCACCCCCGAAGGAAAGGGTACGGGCACGGGGACAAGGCCGGGGTATAAAGCCCGGCCCGCCTGGCCGCGCGCAGCCTCGCAGCCCGTCTATTTCTCTCGCGTGCGGCGCTCACCCACCCGGTGAATGCCCGCTGCTGGGGTGGGAAAGGGCGGGGAGAGCGGGAAGAGGGCGAGCCCCTGGCAGCTGGGTCCAGAAGCTAAGGCCTGGTCCAGCCCCCGGGTTCTTCACCTCCTAACCAGACTGGGCAGGCTGTGGCTCGAAACGGGGCTCTTGAGACGCTGAGCGCGTGGTTCCACCCTTCCTATCCGCAGCGGCATGAGCAGCGCCCCCGCACCGGGCCCAGCGCCCGCCAGCCTCACGCTCTGGGATGAGGAGGACTTCCAGGGCCGTCGCTGTCGGCTGCTGAGCGACTGTGCGAACGTCTGCGAGCGCGGAGGCCTGCGCAGGGTGCGCTCGGTCAAGGTGGAAAACGGCGTGTGAGTGATTGCCTGGCTGCGGCTGGGCTAGGTTGAGGGGCACTGGGCTCCACTGGCGCAGGCTCAGAGCCTCAGCACCCTGTCCCGTGAACCCTGGAGAGACCTGCCAACTTGGGAAACCCCATAGCCTCCCCAAAATTCCCCACCCATCCCAAGATAAATCATGGGAAAGTGTGTATTTTTGTGCTAAAGAGACACAGGCGAGAAGTACCCCACCGTGAAGGAGTTTCTAATGTACTTACATCCTTCCCAGAGTTTTTCTCTGTGCAAAAGTAGAAGGCTCTGCGCTTGGCTTAACAAAAGAAACCCAGTCCTTTTCCCTGGCCCCACCCTGGTCTTAGAGTCCAGCTTTTCCCACCCTCCCGCCCCCTACCCCTGCCCCAACTGAGGTCCCAGTTCCTGCTATGATACTCAGGAGGGGTCCTCCAATGTGTCCCTGTGCAAAGGCTAAACCTTTGGGGCAGGAGCACTTGGTCGGGAGATCTTCATAACCAGGAAAACTCCTTCCCGAGCTGGGGTCCTTGAGCGGGAAGCCTGGGCTCCTCAAACCCCAGAGAGCAGCAGGTTTGGGACCTTTAGTCCGGAGAGGGGCTGGATTGCCATACAATGGGTGTGTCAGGGGAAGGGTTTGGGGTTGGAGAAAAATACTGTGCTTCTCAGTCTTTTCAGTCATGGCAAGCAAGGGGGAGGCAGTGGGGGTGTGGCTCAGGCAGATACCTCCCAGCTCTTCTCCTTTAACAGTTGGGTGGCCTTTGAGTACCCCGACTTCCAGGGACAGCAGTTCATTCTGGAGAAGGGAGACTATCCTCGCTGGAGCGCCTGGAGTGGCAGCAGCAGCCACAACAGCAACCAGCTGCTGTCCTTCAGGCCAGTGCTCTGCGCGGTGAGCACAGCCCACTTCTCCTCCTCTGCCTCCTAACTCCAGGCCCTGGCCTCACCATGGCGCCTGGAAAGGCTGTTCAAGCCCTGCAGGGGGGATATGTAAACAAACTCCGAGATGGGTGGTAGTAGCATTATTTCTCAGAATCAGAAGGGTGTCTCCAAGAAAGTTGGGATTGTGGGCGTAGGCCTGGAATCCAGAAATCATCGCCATGGACAGCACTGAGGCCATCCCATTCCTGAGCGCCTAGCGTTCCCTCACATCCAATAGTCCACACGTGTGAGTGAGTGCCTCTGGCGACACACAGCCCTGTGAGGTCAGGGTGGCCGCTGTTAGCCCCATACACAGGTGTGGAAATGGGGCTCAAAGGGACAAAGTGGCTTGCCCAGGGTCACTGAAAAGAGTCAGTCTCAGTGTGTGTTTGTATATGTGTTATTGTATGTGTGAGGGTGTTGGTAATGAATCAAATACACCGGAAGAGAGGATCTCATTTTCCATTTGTGCTGACCTGGTTACTAGTAGGGCTGGGGAGTGGAGAGCAGAGGACCCAGCCCAGGCCAGCCCACTTCCTCTGTTCCAAGAGGCTGAAGAACCCTGCAGTGGGAAGGCCAGAGCCAAGATGCAATCAGTATTGATGCCCTGACATGTCTGTTCTGATTCTGCCATCCAGTACCCCTTAGCTGGGCACTAAACTGTGAGAGGCTGGCTGTGCTGAGGGGCTGGGCAGAGGATTGCACAGTTAGTCAATGAAGCCCTCAGGGAACTGTCTTGGTGAACGGGACAGATTTCTTTAAGGACCTCTGGCTTTGCTCCTGCAAAACAGGCCCATGTCCCAAGGTGCCCTCTAGTCCTGACCTGAAAGGGTCTCTGGAAACCCTATCTCCCCAGTCACCTCCTTAGCCCAAAGCCATGGGAGAGGCCAGGTTTGGGGGAGCCTCTGAGCGATCCATTTCCCAGCCTGCCAGGGAGCTGATGGGTTGAGCTCTGGGAGTGCCTGTGGGTCCTAGACAGCTGCACAGCTTGTGTGGGGCAATGGGTGGGGGAAGTGAGGCTGATGGAGTATCTGTTAACAACCCTTTGGAAGCCCTGACCTTTCTGTCCCAACCTTCCTGTGCCTCAGAACCACAGTGACAGCCGTGTGACACTGTTTGAGGGGGACAATTTCCAAGGTTGCAAGTTTGACCTCATTGATGACTACCCATCCCTGCCCTCCATGGGCTGGGCCAGCAAGGATGTGGGTTCCCTCAAAGTCAGCTCCGGAGCGTGAGTCCTGGAACCAGAACTGGGCAGAGAGAAGACCAGGAAAGCAATCGGGACCAAGGGATAGGGTGGAGAAAAGCGATGTGGGGAGGGTGCTAAGAGAGATATTGGGGACTTGGAGGCAAGGATGGAGACAGACTGGGAGGGAGGAAATGAGGAGGTCCTAGGAGAATGGGGGGCAGAGGAAAATATAGGCACAGAAGAAGGGCTGGAGAACATGAGGGGATGGAGGCAATGGAGGGTCAGTACAGGAGACAGGATGAGAACTGTGATAGGAAGACTGGGAGCAGTAGCCAGGGGAGGGAGAGAGCCACATAGGGAAAGTTGAAGCAATGATTTTGGAGCTGGGGGTTGGGAGCTACAAAAAGGGGGGCTGCTAGTGGAGAACATAGAGCAGGGGTAGGGGCAGAGCTTACTCCCTGCCCCTGTGCCCTCACTGGCCTAGGTGGGTGGCCTACCAGTACCCAGGCTACCGAGGCTACCAGTATGTGTTGGAGCGAGACCGGCACAGCGGAGAGTTCCGTACCTACAGTGAGTTTGGCACACAGGCCCACAGTGGGCAGCTTCAGTCCATCCGGAGAGTACAGCACTAGGATCCATGGCCCCAGACACCTTCCCTGAAGACCCTCAATAAAGGTTCCTGAATCTTCCTGCCCCTCTTGCCTCCTTGGTGTCTTGCTTTGTGATGTCCATCCTCATCTTTGCGAGAGTCCCTCCCTGCCAAGCTGATCCTCCCCACAGGCTCCAGAATCCTTGGCTACCAAGTGTAAGATGGCTGAGGTTGTGTGTGGATAGGCTGTGGTGGGGCTGACAGCAAAGTGCTGGTAAAAATCTTAGACATTCTGGCTGGGTGCAGTGGCTCATTCCTGTAGTCCCAGCACTTTGGGAGGCCAAGGCAGGTGGATCACAAAGTCAAGAGATTGAGACCATCCTGGTCAACATGGTGAAACCCCATCTCTACTAAAAATACAAAAATTAGCTGGGTGTGGTTGTTCATGCCTGTAATCCCAGTTACTCGGGAGGCTGAGGCAGGAGAATTGCTTGAACCTGGGAGGCGGAGGCTGGAGACGGTGCCACTGCACTCCAGCCTGGCGACAGAGCAAGACTCCGTCAAAAAAAAAAAAAAAAAAAAAAAAAACACCTTAGCAATTCTGTTAAATGGCACCCGTCACAAACCTCTGCTTGGTAAGGTTCACCACTACAGGCCGGGGTACTGCTAGCTCAGATGGCACCTTTGCCATCCTGTGGGTGGGGTGGACACACCCCCACAGCAGGGCTCATAGCTGGATTGCAGCTTCCACACATCCCCTGGCCCAGGTACCATCATGCAGGGCAGAACTTCCTTACTGTACACTGAAGGTCTGAGCTTCCTCTGTAATCCCAGAGCATTTTCAACCTTTATCTTCACCCAGTTCCCTGCCCAGTCAGGGAAGCCTGAGCCTCCTGCAGTTGTCCCCTTTGCTCCATTCGCAGGAGGGAAATTAGTGGGAAATCCCACTGCTTCCCAAGGCCTTCGAAGGGGAGACTTTCACCCTGTGAGCCCAGCCCCCAGACCCTTTGAGCAATGACAATCCCTTGCAGTAGTGTTGAACTCCAGCATTTAGAAAGCATCTTCATACCTCCCCTCCTCAGCTGCTCCATACCACCCGCTCTTCACTCTTCCTTTCCCTCCCTACCCATCAGAAGACTGGTGAGCTGTAGCAGCCACCCCTCAGTTGCTCAGAGGAGGCTTGTGTTCTGGGCAAGTGGCAGGTGCCCACAGGCATGGCAGGGCTGAGTATGGCTGCAGCCATTAGAGCCCCTGGCACTAGTATGGGTTTTTCCCAGTTCCCTCTTCAATCCAGTTGGTGATGCCCCCCCGACCCCTACACAGACAGAGCCTCTCAAGAGTCTTGGGACTCCCCTCATCCTGTCCTTCAGGGATTCTTGTGTTTTCAAGTCCCCAGTGGACCTATCAGTGGCGACAGGTGGCTCTGATTATTGCCCCAGGTCAGGCAGGGCAGGGCAATGCCAAGGAGCAGTCAGACTTGGACCTGAAGTCCCCAGAGGTTCAGCTGTGCAAAGTCAGGCAGCTGCTCCTTTGAGAAGCGCTCTGGACCATAAGTCAGAACACCTGGGACCCAATTCCCTCACCTTGTAATCTGGGGCTATTGACTGCTGTCCTGCCTGTCTCACAGGGCCTGTTAGGAGGATTCCATGAGAAACCCCTTTTCCGTAACACCACAAGCAAATGCTTGTGGTGTTATAGAAAAGCACTGGGGTAGTCAATGTAGGGACATCCTTCCCCTACCTCCCCCACATGGATCCTAGGGTTGGGTCAGGGGACCAAGGGAATGAGCTCTGGGTGGGGTATAAATTTTGCTTTACACTCGAATGGGCTCTAGAGTCCATGGCCCTTGTTGCATTCAGTCCTCCTAATACTCTCCAATTTCATCTACTTTACCAAACTGAGAGTCCAAGGAGAAGCTTTGATGACATCACCCACTTAATTGGTGACAAAATCAGGATTTGAACACAGAGTTCCTGGCCCTAAATCCAGGCTGTTAGGTGGAGGCTGAACTGAGCTGTGGCTAAAAGCCTCAGGCCTCCGCAGAGCCCCAAACTTCTATGGGCCCCAGAGGAACCTGTGGTTCCTGGCTGGTCACGGGCTCCTCCCCATCCCCTTGTGGAATGGCAATATTTACAATAGCTACATGTATAGAATCTGTTTGAAACCCTTCACATGTGTTATCTCATATAAACCTCATCATTCTGTATGGCAGGTACTATCATACCCATTTTATTTTTATTTACTTTTATTTTTATTTTGAGACAGGGTTTTGCTCTGTTGCCCAAGCTGGAGTGCAGTAGCTTGATCTCAGCTCATTGCAACCTCTGCCTCCTAGGTTCAAGCAATTCTTCACCCTCAGCCTCTGAGTAGCTGGGATTACAGCCACCTGCCATCATGCCAGGCTAATTTTGGTATTTTGGTAGATACAGGGTTTCACTATGTTGGCCAGGCTGGTCTTGAACTCCTGACCTCAGGTGATCTGCCCGCCTTGGCCTCCCAAAGTGCTGGGATTACAGGCATGAGCCACTGCGCTGGCCCATACCTATTTTATGAGGAAATGCAAGTACAGTACAGAGGTTATGTTACTTCCCCCAAAGTCACATAACCAAAAAATGGGAGAGTCAGGAGTTGAAACTAGAACCCAGACAAACTGGCTTCAGAGCCCAGCAGGCCACTTCCCCACTGCTTGCTTTGGGGAGCAGGCAATGAGCAAAGGGAGATATGGCATCCGCCCTTGACTGAGCTGCCCTCCCTGCAGGAGGATCTGTGGTTGCTCCGAAGAATCAGCAAGACGGCTTCAGGAACTAGAAGTGTGACTCTGAACTGGGTCTCGTTTCCCCATCTGTGCAACGCAGAAGTCAGGGGAGTTAATATTTGCTGCAGCCCTTGCCAGCATGGACCTTCTAGGTTTTTCTGGACCTAAGGGTCATGTTTTGCTTCCTACATCTGTCTACAGCTAAGGAGTGGGGGTCACAGAGGCCAGTCTAAACTCGAATGCTTTCACCTTCTGGTCCTCCGTTCGTTCTGGGCAGGCTGACCATCTGCAGAACCACATGGGACCAGCGCCCAGCAGGGTAGGAAAGGGATGAAGGGGAAACTGCCAAGGACTCTCCTGTTGGCTTCCCTAGCTGTACTTGCAGCAGAAGGGGATGGTGAAGATCAAGACCCAGGTGGGTGGAGATGACTGCCCCCCATGCACACATTAACTGGTGCCCCACCCGCTTAGCAACTGATTTCTTGGTAAGACTGAGGCATAAAGCCTGTACTGTCGATCCCTGCCCAGCTCAGAGCTGGGATATTTGGGTAGACGTCCTCTCTAGGACCCTCTCCTTTACACCTCAGTCTCCCACTGAGAGCATTAAGTGGGCGAATTTTGATGCCTCCCAGCTCTCCCAGCTCTTACCTCCTGCCCCTTGCTATTTTCTGTTCTTACCTCCTGCTCTTTGTTTTTTGTCCATAGTGGGTGGGGGAAACAGTAAGAGGAATGAGACGGTAGAGGGATTGGGATCTTGACCCCACCTTCAAGACCCTTCCCTTCTGCTGAGTCCGAGTTTGGTCCACAGGGAACATTCCAACCTCTAGTCTTTGCTCCCACCGGATTCCAGGTCCACATCCCAAAGGCTTCATCCTTGTCCCACTAGGATCCTCCCAGGACCTGGGATCCCTCATTTTTCCCTCCACATTCTGCCTCCCACACTTCTCCCTGGCTCCTTTGCACCCTCCACAAGCAAAGATGAATACCCCAGCAGTTGCAGCAAATGAGGGTGAACAGGGCCCTGTAGAACCCCAGAAGTAGGACTTTCTAGCCATCCTCAATCAGGCACCCCAGGACCAGGCACTTAGCAGGAGATTTGCCAATTCCCAGGCCTCCTCCACCCCTGGGCTCAAGCAGTGAGAGAGGACTTGGAGAATACCAGTTTTGACAGTACCCATTCCATACTGCAAGGCTGCAGAAGGGGGGCTTCTGGGCTGGAGCTTCATCTTCAGTCAGCATCCTCCTTAGCCTGCCTCTCCAGAGCCAAGAAGTCCCACCAGTACCCAGAGAGGCTGTAGGACACTTGGGAACCACATCAATATCTTTGCATGAGTTAGAAATAGGAATACTTTTCTTGGAGTGGATTTCAGCCTTGCACAGTGCACAACCCTGTCTTAACCCCTCCACCTCTCCAGCCTGGTTCAGGGACAGCCAGAATGGGAATAGTGGTGAGGGTGGGTGGCAGACTGGGAGGACAGGGGATAGGGAAGGATGGGAGAGGAATAGTTGTACAGGGAAGTAGCAGGGGGCTCAGAAACCCATCAGGGAAAGCCAGGACAGATTCTCAACATCTTTAGAGGCCTTCAGCAGTCCAGGCCACTACTAATTTGTGGGGACTAAATGAATGAGAAAAGGAAGGGAGGGAAAAGGATGAGAGGGAGAGAGAAGGCTGGAGGGGAGATGGGAGTCAGAGAGAAAAGCCTAGAATAGATGGTAAAGAGAGACCTAGAAGGGGGGGAGAGGACAGAGGAGGGAGTCACCCACCATAAGTTGCCAGGAGAGATGGCCCAGCACCAGGGCCTGAGGCTTGGGGGCCCTAGAAAGGCAGGAAATGGGCCAAAGCAAGAAGGAGACAGGGAAGGGGTTCAGGTCTCTAGGGAAGAGCAGAGAGTGGGAGAAGAGGAGGAGGGAGCGGGGGTGCGGGCAGAGATAAAGGGAGCAACGGCTGCAGGGCCGGGAGCGCAGCGACAGGCGAGAGGGAGGGAAGCGGAAATTTAAAAGTGAAGATGCAGATAACGCAGCCTGGAGACGGGAACCCGGGTGGGGATAGAGGGAGGGAGGGGGAGGAGAGTGAGCGGCGAGTGGAGCGGGAGCAGACTGGAAGAAGGGCACTAGGGAGGGGGCTGTGGCTGCTGGGGTCCGAGGTGGGGCCAGGTACACCAGCCCCATCACTGTTTGCAGAGAATCAGGGAGGCGGAAAAGACACGCGTTCCCGGCCCCCATCAGGGCGCATGGCCCGGGCCCATCCCCCGCACGTCTCCCCGGCTGCGGGGCGCTGGGGGCTGCCGGGTGCGCTTGGCTGTGGCGCGGCGCGTTGGAGACTTTATTGCGATGGGACGATAAGAGGGGC